GCTTCTCGGCCTTTTGGCTAAGATCAAGTGTAATTTTACTGAATACTTGTGTATACTTAATTTTAAGTCAGTATTACTGTGTTTAAGGATGAAATGCTATTTGTCTTATGCATGAGCTTGTATCCATTTCTGCTGTTTGTTTTTTAAAGTTTATAGAATAATATTTAAACCAAAGGTCTTACAAACTTGTAAGCCAAGATTCTTCTAAGGCCCAATGTTTCTCTTAGCTAGTAAAAATAGTACTGTCTGGCTTTGTAGTGAAAGACTGAGAGGTTAAAATGCAGCATCAGGAACCTTAGGAGGGTAGGGTTCCTCCTGTCCACTCCAGAGCTGGCCAGGAGCTTTTGGGCAGGCATTGAGTTACTTTGGTGAGGCAGTCATGGAGATGGAAAGGGGTGAATGTAAGGTTTTAGAGAAGTGGAAGTAATTGTTCACAACAGTTAGGTAATAAAGGCAATAGAAAACATTGAGGAATTTAACACATAGATTAATTTTCTATGAAAAAACTTGATATTTGTATATATGTGTATATCTTCTGAAAAATGCCAAATTTGGAATGAAAGAAATACCACTGAAGGTTATCAATATGTAAACATGTTTGTTAAATATAATGTGTATACTTAGTAGTTCCCTTTGTTTGACCTTTACCTCATGTTGTTAAAAATTCATAACTGAAAATGCTTATTTTATGAGGGATGTGTAGTTTACAGCATATTCATAATTATATAATTAAATGCTGTTTTGAAACATTATGTTACTATTGGGATTTGAGACATTGGAAGACACCTTCTTAGGTGAGTTATTGCACTGTAACTTCAATTGCAGATGTTTCCCCCACTGATGGGCAGCTAACTGAGGTAGTGCTATCCAGGGTAGTCAACTCTGAATTACCTGTGGTAATGGGAAGCAACAATGCATGGATAGTCCTGGAACAAAACACTTTATACAGTATCTTCCTGTCATCCCTTGTGGCCTGAGCATGTGCTTGGGTTCTTGAGGGACACATGGGAGTGAGGCTTAGGCTGCAGAGCCGCTCAGATCAGTATAGTCATCACAAAGCAACAAGAGATGTCCTGTAGGAAGCCTGGGTTTGGCTGAAGTGTCAAGGGGGGGCCTGCAGCATGTGAGACCAGCTTGGCAATAGAGGTGAAAAGGATGGAAAACTAACAAGGGCCGTGGGAAAGTGGGTCTTTAAATTCTACACAGTTGGAGTGATATTTTGTGATGCAATTTTTGTTTAATAGAAGCTGTAGTAAATAAAAGTAGTATTAATAGCAGTATATTTGCATTGGTTTTGTCTTTGCTAGTGAACACACTTTTTATCTGCCACAGGTGAATGCTGTTGAGGCCTCTTAAATAAAAGTAGGCTTATTGTCAAAATAACTTAATTTTAGAAAGCTAGCATAAATTGGAAATACCTTAAAATTGTTTCCCTAAATATCAATGGTGAATTTGTAATTTTGAAACTGAACAATGTATGCTGCTTTTATAGTATCAAAGAATATAATGATGACAAAGACAGTAGTGATTAATTAAAGCTGTGCATTTGATTGATGAGAAACAGATTTCTTAATTTAAAAATACATTAGGGCAGCATCATTAAATTCCCAAACTAAGTGGCTATGATGAATGTTAAAGCTGGGTGGTACTTGCAAGGGATTTTTCTTTATAGTATTCTGTTATATTTAATTTGGCCTATGTTTTGTACTAGAGAAAGCTCTAAAAAATTGAAGTAAGTGTTGCTGAGAAACCTCAGAATCTTCTGGACCAAATGGTCCTTTTCTATCTGTAAAAGAGATTTACTGTTCTCTGTCATTGTTAAACTTCATATAAAACAGCCATTTTCTAAGCGTATGTTTGATGATGTTTGTGGTGACTTTCGCCTGTGGTAGAAGGATGACCAGAATACAAATTACGCTCTTGGGTTTCCCTTACTGTATATACCTGCATTACTGTGGGTGTTTAAGATGTTGATGATAATTCCAAATTGCTCCAGGTGGACGGACAGTTGGTGAGATAGATATTAGTGTTGGGTTGGCTCTTGAGTTGCCATTTGGGAGTGAATAACGCTTGGGACAGGCTAGTTACAGTCCTTTCTGTAGAGTGGTGGTTCTCAAGGGGCTGTTAGTGTCTCACATTTTTGACTGTCACAAGTTAGGATGGAGAAATGATACAGGTAAGACTTCTGGATGCTTCTGTGGGATCCAGCAGTGCTTGGCACGATCCCTGACACCAAAAGACCTGGGGGCCCAAAATGTCCATTCAAATTCCAGTTTGCTCTAAATTCGGAATTGTGTTGTGGTTGAGCAAGTCTGCATTCTTACGGATTCCTTCTGAATAAGTGAAGTGCATTTATGAAAGCTGATGAGCATGAAAACTGCCTTACACAAGGAGTGTGCTCTCAGCTGCTGCTTTTGATCGGATGAGGACCAGTTAGATAAAAATGTAATAACCCTATTTCTTGGTCTTTTTTTTTGGCTTGCTTTATGGTTGGCAAAAATATGGAATAATGCAATTAATTTTCACTTTCTTGAGCTTAAAAATTAAACTTTAAAATCACTAATATGCAGGGTTTTTTTTTTATATTAGTTCCCTGAAGCAGTTTGAAATGACTGATAATCCTACAATTTACCTAATAGGCACAGAATAAGTACACACAATGTATTTGAAGTGATAAACTTACTATTTTTTAAAGATTTATTCATTTTTTTCTGACAGGCAGATTTTACAGAGAGGAGATAGAGTTCTTCCATCTGTTGGTTCACTTCCCAAATGGCCATAAAAGCCAGAGCTGAGGTGATCCAAAGATGGGTACCAGGAGCTTCTTCCCGGCTTGCCATGTAGATGCAGCAGCCCATGCACTTGCGCAGCCCTCTGCTGCTTTTGTGGTGTGTAAGCAGAGAGCTGGATTGGAAGTAGGGCAGCTGAAACATGAACCAGCATCTAAATGGGTTGCTGGTGCTGCAGGTGGAGGATTAACCTACCATGCCACCACATCAGGGCCCCACGCTTATTATTTTGATCAGTTTTTAATTGGGTTTAGAAATTTGCTCTGAAATATATTTTATTAACTTTTAAGATCTCTTGATTGAGAGGAAAAAGCTTTTGAATTGGATCTGAGTTTACTTTTGTTAGATGAGAAGGATAGATCATTTTTAATATTTCTTAAAATGATATTTCATTAGTGGCATGATGGTTATTTCTTTCCATTGTTGTTGTCTGCTTCTCTGATAAAGGGAAATTGAAGTAAGACTGATAAACTAGCAGAAAAACAAAACCACCTGTTTCGGCTTGACAGCAGTGTTGGTAAAGATGGGGAGAATTTTACTGAAGTGTTTTTATAAAACTCTGACTGCAACCCTTAGGGGCAAAACATTTTCCATTTTACATAGTACATAATTCATACATACAGAGATACAGGGGTTTTTGGAAACTTTGTGCAAATGAGACTAAAAGATAAATTTATTCTGGTGCAGAAACATTTTTTAAAGTCTGTAGATAATTTGTTTTTACATTTTTCATGAACTCTTATTCCTTCATGCATGAATTTTCAAAATTGTGCACTGAATAAGCATCTTTAAATTATTTTGCAAAGATTTATTTATTTTAAAGATGAAAAACTTAAGTTTTTAAAGGATTTATTTGAAAGGCAGAATTAGAGAGGGAGAGACAGAGAAAGACCTTCAGTTGGCTGGGTCACTCCCCAAGTGGTTGCAGTGGCTGAGGTTGGGCCAGGCCAACGCTGGGAGCAGGCGGCTCATCCAGGTCTCCCACGTGGGTGGCAGGCCTTACACACTGTCTTCCATTGGATTTTGGTTGTTAGCAGGGAGTTGAATCAGAAGTGGAGCAGCTGCAGTTCCATCCGGTGGTCATATGGGATAACAGCATCCCAGGCTATGCCACAGCACAGCCCCTCTCCCATTTCTTAAACAAAGATGTTTAAAAAGTAGCAGGAATTATATTCATAGGTTATTTTAAAAATATAATCAAATTAGTCATTGGTACCCTCATAGTCATATTAGGTTAAATTTTTAAAAGCGTATTTATTTTCACTTACTTGGAAGGCAGGGAGGGATCTTCCATTCACAGCTTCATTCCTCAAGTACTTGTAAGATCCGGACGAGGCCATCACCTGCTGCCTCTCAGAATGTACCAACAGGGAGTTGGATCAGAAGGTGAAGAGTGGGGACTCCAACCGGGTGTTTCAGAACAGGATATGGGATTCAAACTGAAGCATAAACAGCTGTGCCAAAGCTCCCCCTAACCCCCGTCAGTGAATTTGTGTGTCGTGGGGTCTCTGTGTGACTGCCCTTGTCTGCTATTGTAGGATGAACGTATCCTTAGGAAAGGAAGCAGGTGAGCAGTGTTGACTGTTCAGTTATAGAAGCTTAGGAAAACTGAGTTTCAAGTTTGTGTTTTTTTAAAGCAATACTTTAAAAATTATTTTATTTTACTTTATTTGAGAGACTGTTAAACTTCCATCCATTGGTTCACTTTCCAAATGCACACAGAAGCCAGGCTGTTCTAGGTCACAGCCTAGAGTCCCGAACTCGTTGCTATCACATGTTGGTCGCAGGGTCTGAACTGTCCTTGAACTGTCATCTGCTGTCTGTCAATGAAAGCTGAACTTGGCAGCCAGGGATCTGGGAGTCTGAAGACGAGTCCCCCCTACTGTGCCAAATGCTCGATCCAGAATTGGGTTTTCATGTCATACATAATGTTTTTTGTTTTTGTTTTAACCAACCATTAAAAAAAATACACACTACTCTTAGCTTGTGGGATGTGAAAGTCAGGTGACCGTCTGGATTTGGTCTGTGGGCTGTGCTTTGCCAACCCTTGCATTAGCCTAAGAATAAATTCCTTACTCCAGAAGGAGAAAATTGAGCACACGGAACTGAGTAGAAGCAGGCAGCGTTAAATTCTGGGCATTGTAAACAGCGGTGTTCTGGTTATCAGCCCTATTCATTTTGTATTGTGTCTTTGTGTATTGTATTTTACAGACAGTTGATATTCATAAAGAAAAAGTGGCAAGAAGAGAAATTGGAATTTTGACTACCAATAAAAACACTTCAAGGACACATAAGATTATTGCTCCAGCCAACCTTGAACGGCCAGTTCGTTATATTAGAAAACCTATTGACTATACTCTTCTAGATGACATTGGCCATGGCGTAAAGGTAGGTGTCGTTGTTGTCAAGCTGCTTAAAGCAGTAGCCCGTGATGGAGTAACTCTAGTGTGTCCAGCTTTGCTCTTTCCTTTTCTAGAGGACCGTCCTGACTCTGCGTGATTGTGAAGATTGCTTCCTGTTCTAACTTAGCTTTCTTGCTTTTGCTTCGTGCTGTTCTCTCAATTTTAAGCAGTCATCTTAGAGCAAATTGCATTTGCTTAATTATCTTATCTCATATAGATTAAGTAAATGTAGTGAAGTCTTTGGATTTTTTAATGACTTAATGACTGATTAAAAATTATTCAACATGTTGTTAAAGTGAATGTGATTACCTTATCTTACTATATCAGGAGACTTTGGCATCAATTTTCCAAAGCAACATATAGTAATAAATATATGCTTTGAATTTCTGAAAAATAATTTCATCAGTATTTGGAACTAGAATAGTGTAGGTACTCAGTTGCTTTTGCGTAAATGGCCATTGTACATTTTGGCTATGTTTTAAGGTGTGCTTGAGTGTCTGGTGTTTGTATATAAAATACTATAATTAGCACTGAGAAATGTGCATTAATACTTAAGCTATTCATATATTTGGATGAATATTAAATTATCTAAAGCTTGTATCTAATCAGTGATTTGAAAGACAGTTAGTTGCCAAATGGGACTTTGAGTGAATGTGTATATATGCCTATAATGAAATTGTATAATTTATACAGTAGACTTTTTACTAGTTTATTTCATTTTTGATGATGTTTACATAGTTAAGAATTTTTTTCTAAAGCAAGTGTATTGGAGTAAAAACAACATGATGACTTGATATCAAATAAATTGAAAGTTAATGTATATCTAGCTTAAAAACATGCCCTATAAATCCATTAAAATTTTTTTCCCTTAGAGTTTAGGTACAACCATTATTTTCTGAAATTTGGTATTTAACTTTATAATTGATACGTACTAGAGCCTGTTGAAAAGGATGTATAATTGATAGTTAATTAATGACTGGAATTTATTCTAGCATGGGAAAATTTGTTCAAGGTTAACAACTGCTAGTAGGGCATTAGGATGGTGCCAGGATCTAATGCCAGAGCGATACTTACGTGTTACAGACCTCACGGTTGTGTTTGCCTGTTTCTGCAGTGAAAAGGTGCTGCTTCTCTTTCCTTGTTCAGCCCTCACAGTCACATGTTATTCTTTTAGGACCCTGTAGTCTCTTCATTGAACTTTCAGTGTGTAAGGGCCACTAATGTGAAGAAATCTTTAGTAGCATTAAGTTTTTGAATGAAACAGTGTCTTAAGTAATTTCATTCAGGAAACTCCTGTTCATGACACATTCTGCTTTAACCACTCTTTCTATGATCTACTGAAACATTATTTTGTTAATGCCAAATGCTTAACTTGTTTTTTTATTTTCTTTTGTTTTTTTTTCCTTTCTCTTCACATCCTGAAGTTCCAACTAACCTTTCAATGCTTTTTTTCCTTACCTCTTTTATTTGCTCCATTTATGCATTAAGTGGTTGCTTAGATTTAAGGTAAGAGATTCCAGGGCTGGATTTCCATTCTTTGTTCTTATATAGAATATTACATACGGGGAGTAACTAGATATTAGGTCCTTGGCCTTTTAAAGCCAACACATAATTCCTCTTTTTTATTGTAATTTTTTGTCACTCAAGTTCGTGCTGTGTCTTCATGTTCTTTGAAGGCGATGTTTCTGTCTTGTTCACACTCTATTCTTTGTGCAGAAAGCAGTAACTAACATGCATTAAATGCTTTGTAAATATTTTTTGAGTGAATGATCATTTTGTAATATTACTATATTTTGTGGAACAGCAACATAAGTTATCCATAATGAAATGTTTCAAAATAAAATTATCTGAGTGTTGTAAGTAGAATGATTTTGTTTTAGATTGGAGTGCAGAATAATGTGTCTCACTAACTCCTCCCCCTGTGTAATAGCCTTTTTATTCTATAAATGGTGTGCTTTAGTTACCCTGTGGACAACTGTCATTTTCTTCTTCTATTGTGAAGAAATTGAAAAGCAGAAAATGTTTTGCTTTTTAAAGTTGCAGTATCATGTGTTTTGATAAAAATTGGTCTTTAAAAAGTAACCGTAAGATACAGATTTCAGAATAAATTCACTTTAAGAGCTTTTAAAGGTAACAGTATATATAAAACATCAGAAGTTCAAGATAATTTTTAATATAAGAATTACAGTTTCTGTGGTTGCTGTAGCTATTTTGGAGGATTAATGGTAAGGAACCTCAACTGTATATGTATTAAAAGATTTATTTATTTTTATTAGAAAGTGATATCTATAGAGAGAAGGAGAGAGAGATCTTCCATCTGCTGGTTCACTCCCCAAGTGGTTGCAAAGCCAGAGCTGAGCTGCTCTGAGGCCAGGAGCCAGGAGCTTCTCCTGGGTCTCCCATGTGGGTGCAGAGTCCCAAGGACTTGAGCATTTTCTGCTTCTTTCCCGTGAGTTTTTCCCTGAGTTTTGATCCATAAGCAAACAGCTGGATGGCAAGTGGAGCAACAGGACTAGAACTGGTGCCCTCGTGGGGTGCCAGCACTGCAAGGGAGGACTAGCTTGCTGAACCACCGTGCTGGCCCCATCAATTAATTTTTATGTTGAAGGCAAAGGAGGAGAGATTTTTTTTTATCCTCTGGTTCCCTCCCCAAAAGCCTGCAACAGCTGAGCTGGGTCAGGAGCTTGGAATTCACTCTGGGTCTCCAGTGTTGTGGAGAACCATATTGGACCAACACTGCTGCTTTCCAGGGTTCACAGAAGCAGGAATCTGGAACTCGAGGTTGAGATGGGACCTAAACCCATAATAACAGGCTGTGGGAGTCCTACGTGGCACGCGTTGTGCTGTGCCAAGTGCCTGCCCCTCAAATAGAATATTAGTGAAATGACTGTCATCAAATTTAATGTATTTTTTTCTTTTTTTTTTTAAAAGATAATTGACTAGTCTGCATTGGAGTAATAATTGAAAAAAATTATTAACATTTCTTTGAAAGGAAGAGAGAGTGATCTTCCATCTGCTGGTTTATTCTGCAAATACTTAACAGCCAGGACTGTCCATGCTGAATGAAACCAGGAGCTGTCAAGTGAGTCTGGGTCTTCCATGCGGTTGGCAGGAACCCAGGTACTTGAGCCAACACTGTTCCTTTCTAGCATGCGTATTAACAGAAAGCAGAGCTGGAAACCACAAGGTCTGATTTGGGACGCAAGCTTCCCAGGCAACATTGTAGCCATCTTGTCATGTCTGCTCTCTTCTTTTATTGAGCTGGTTCTGTTTTAAATTATTTCTGATACTTTGTTTACCATATCTTCAGTGTGGAAGGTGAAAAGATGACTGAGTTTTGATTCATCACATGTTAACCATGGACAGAGAAATTGGAATTGTGGGGAAATTCTTTTGCTTGAAATGGGATTACATTGAACCAGCATAAAGCCAAGCTTTTCTCTATTTTTTGAGAAGTCTGTGTTCAAATTTTGGCTGTTGATGTGTTAACCGAGCTCTGCTGCCATGTTCATTTCATGAAGACCTTGGGGTGATTTCTTCTTGACCTTCCTGCATTAGGGAGATAGGCCCAAGTGAAGGACTCGTGGAAAGATCTAATAACCAAACCTAGATAAGACCTCTTAATTTCTTGGTTCTTTATTTTTTAAGATTTACTTGAAAATGAGAGAGGAAGAGACAGCTTCCATCTGCTGGTTCACTCCTCCAGTGGCTGTGTTGGCCAGAGCTGTGCTGTTCCAAAGCCAGGATCTTCTTCAGGTCCCCAGTGCAGCTGCAGCGGAGGCCACCCTCTGCCGCTTTCCCAGGCTGTCAGCAGGGAGATGGATTGGAAATAGAGCAACCTGTGTCTTGAACCGGCATCCTCATGGGATGTAGGCTTTGCCAGCAGCAGCTTCATCAGCTGCTACAATGCTGGCCCCAACATCTTTGTTCTGCATCACGAGCCTCCCCGAAGTGCGGCTCGCTGTTACTGGTCCTGTGTTTGTACACTTGGTGGGTAAGGAACTAGAATATGCAAATGCTCTGCCTTTCTTCTCATCCTCTTTTGAGAATGTGCATCCTCTTTATACTCTTGTAGCATGTAGTCAGTAATTTTGGGTAAAGTAGAAGAAAGTGGGGGAAAAACTCAGTAGTTACTACTCTGCATGCTTGTGGTATTAAATGAGTGGTTTTCTGTTACGGTGAGCAGGGCAGCAGTACATACCAGTACAGTGGTTTCTCAGCTGAATTTGCAACCTGTGGATTCTTCCAAGAGGTTGATAGTATTATAGATTCTTTATTCTCATTTTAATTAATGTGACTGAGTAAACAATTTTGAAATTTAAACCATATTTGGGATCTAATCTTTTTTTTCAGTTCTTTATATGCTTTCATTTTGCTCCTATTGCTATCAATTTCTTTATGCTTTTTAGTCAAACTGTTAACAAAATCACCACCATACTGTGGTACCGGACAGATCAGATTTGACTCAAGAGTGACTTCATTGGTTAAAAGTTGAATTATTTGTAAATACACAAACTTGAGAGACAGACTGACTTAGAGAGAGCTCTAGTCATTGGATCGCTCCCCAGGTGCCACAGTAGCTGAGGCTGGCTGGGGCTGGAATGCAGGCCAGCTCTGGGGAACCTGGCTACTTGAGCCATCATCATCATTGCCTCCAGGATGTGTTTTGGTGGGAAGCCTGAGTTAAGTGATGAAGCTGGGAATTGAACCTAGGCATGCTGATGTGGGATACAGGCATTTTAACTGCTAGGTTAAATACCTGCTCCTGGAGGGGTTTTAATATGAACCGAGGCTCTCTATAGAAAAGTGGAGTATTCTCTACACTGTATTTTAATAATGTTTCAAGACTGTTATTGACTTGATATGATATGTATTTGTAATGGATTTTTAAATTGAAAACAATAAAGCTGTTACTAATGCAGCTAAGCTTAAGTATTTTCAAAATATGCATGATAAACTTTTGATTGTTGCCGAAGGACTATACTAGGGAAAGGCAGTAGGGGGCACGGGGGTGGGGAGAGTGGAAGATGAAATCCCTCAGCCCAGGGAACTGTATCCTGAAAGAGAAATTTTAAGGCCTTGGTGTGCTAGCCTAGTGGCTTAAGTCCTCGCCTTGCACGTTCCTGGGATCTCATATGGGCGCTGGTTCTAATCCCAGTGGCCCTGCATCCCATCCAGCTCCCTGCTTGTGGCCTGGGAAAGCAGTCGAGGACAGCCCAAAGCCTTGGGTAGGAGACCTGGAAAAAGCTCCTGGCTCCTGGCTTTGGATTGGCTCAGCTCCAGCCATTGCGCTCACTTGGGGAGTGAATCATCGGACGGGACGGAAGTTCTTCCTCTCTGTCTCTCCTCTCTGAATATCTGACTTTCCAATGAAAAGAAACAAATCTTTAAAAATATAGAAATTTGAGAAAATTAAGAAAAAGAAGGTAATGATTTCTCTGGCCAGTGTTTGGTCTGGTCTGGTATTTGAGCTGCAGCTTAGGGCCCAGTTACACATTGACTTGTGACCCTAGCTGTTGGTGCTAGCTTCCTACTGATGCAGTCCCAGGGAGACAACAGTGGTGGCTCAAATGATAGGGTCCTTGTAAGCCCCGGGGGACACCAGGATTGAATTTGTAGCTCCTGGTTTCAGCCCGTAATCTTCCTGGCCTTTGATAAATAGATAAGCAGATGGACCCAATGGCTGAACAAAGGAAAAGAAACAAAGAAGTGAAGCCCTTTGGTTTGATCTGCTCAGGTAGGATCATCATGTTTGGTGGAACATTGTCCAGGAATATTTTGAATAATTACAGTTAAGACTAAGAGTTTATTTTACAACTATCAGGACTATAACACTTAAAAATTTTGTGTAGATGTTGAAAACCCATAATTTAACAACATGTAAAAGATAGAAGATTTTCACTTGAATACACTTGCACAAGTGTTTGTCATTCCCCGCAGAGGCAGGATCAATTTCCTGTTTCTTGCCTTGAGTTAAACCTGAGGTTTTACTGGTAAACATTGATTTACCACGACACTTTGAAGAAAATGTATAGTGCCAGCAACTTTAGGTGACTCATCTGTTTTTGCCTGTCAGTTCTAACATTGAGTCATGAGTTCTGTTTTGGCAAAAAGTAGTTGTTGGAACCTGTTTTCAAAAATCAAGCAAACGTTTCTTTCCTTATTTCTCTTGTTTAGTACTTAAATGCGTGTGCGTGGACGGACGGGGACACACACACACACACACACACACACACACACGCACACACACACACACACACACACACACACACACACACACACACCCCTCTACCCATCCACCCACCCCCTCTACCCCTCCCCACTGTTTATCTTCCCTGTTCAAATCTTTTGGTCCCTATCTCTTACTCTGTTTTCTTTGTATGGATTGTTTTAGGACCCATTGCTCCTTTGCCTTTTCAGGCCTCTTAACAGCAATTTTACTTCTGTCTTAATTTTATACTCTTAATTTCTGGTCTCAGTTTTGATTTCCCTCCGAGGGGCCATTGCATAAAAACATTTAAAAACATACTTTGGGTTTCAAAGACAGTTTCTTAACTGTAGTTATAATATAGATCCTACCTATTATGAAGAAATTTAGTTTGTCATTTATACTTTTCTTTTTACATAAATTAGATATTAATATTTATGCCATGACAGCATATTCGTTTTTTCTGTTGGCATAAAAACATTTCCCACAAGTGAAAACTGACTTGAAAAAGTTTTTTGTTAGCATTATATAAAGATTGTTTAATATCAATGAAGTGTAAAATTTGGTTTGGACATTGTACAGGGGCCTTTGGGTTCTTAAGTGATTTAAATTACACATTCAACGCCATTAATTAAAGACAATTATACAGATTTAAAAAATAATTTGATTCTTGTGTATTTGATTATACAGATTTTAAGAATAAAAATAAAGTATCATGAAAATCTTCACCCGATTTTAATTCATAAATAATTTACACTACATTTTGGATAGGTGCAAAGTCATAAATGATACTGCAACTTGAATAAAAGCAACTTACATACGAAAAGCCTAAAGCAAATCAAAGTTGGAAAGCTTTTTAAGTGTTTTAGCTATTCCATATATAGAATAAAGTTTTCTTCTACTTTCTCTATTCCTGTTCCTTTTCTTTCCTGTTTCCAGCAAATTGATGTAGTTTAGTGGTTGGTCCAATTCTCCTTTACCACGTAAAGTAATTTTGAATTTTGTGTTAATTAAGGTTGAGCTTAAAGGACTTGGTTACCACTTTTGGAGTCTTCTGGTATCAGAAATTAAGCTTTACATTTTAAAGCTGTTGATTATCACATTTCTTCTAAAAATTTCCCCAAATATGACTTAATTTACTAAAAAAGCTTTTGGCATTTCCATTCTAAGATATAATTAGTGTGCCCTCTGCTTATTGAAGAGAGGGAGTGCAAGGACAAGTTCATTTGTATTCTTACTGGATAATCTGTTTGTTTTGTATTTTTTAAAGCAGCAGTAAAAGAATTAAATGCTTCACTTGTCAAAGGTATCATTTGTCATTAAAGATTGTTTTAACATCACACGCAACTTGTTCACTGGGTTGTTAATTTGAAGGATTTTTAATTTATTGTTTTTTGCATTTCAGAACAGCAAGAAGTATTATGGGAATAAAACAAAACCCATTTAATTCATAGTTAATTTTGACACCATCATTTTCAGGGTAATTCAGGAGGTTCATTGAAAAATAGAATTAAATGATAATGTACATTTTTCATAAACTTTTTGAAGTCCATTGTATTCTGTATACAATTATGACGTATTTTCTTTATATTTTAAAATCTGTTACCAATGTATTCTAATTTCAGTGGTGTAATTCTTTGAAATCTCATTTTATAAGCATAATTTAAATGTGTTAAACGTATTAGAAAATGAAAATCCTTTTTTGAAGTGTTTGAAGATGGTAATTCAAAATATTGGAGCCTAAAACAGGATCAGTTGTGAACCTACACCTTGAACTGATCCTGACTCACAGCTTTTGAGATTGTATTCAAATTGTATTTGCAAATGAAATCTGCTGAAGATACCCAGAGTTCTGGGGTTTTCTGTATAATTGCTGGCATACTCTTTTGGTGATGCCTGTCATTTCTGGATTTGTTTGCTATGCCTGCATTTTCAGTTTGGTATAGGATAGATAATAGAGGCATGGTCTGGTCTGACTTAGGGTTGCAGTGCAACTTTCACAGGCCGGGACTAAGTTTCAATTTGGGCATGAGTGGAACTTAGTGCCAGCGACTCTTACTGCCCAACAGTTTAGTGGGATACATCAGCCCTAAGATTCTGGTTCATATGTTTAAGACATATGTTGCATTTCTTGCAGTTTACAGGTAGGTGGTGCCCTTAAAAGAAAACATTGAAGAGATTAAAATAAAAGGCTGATGTACAGCTTTAAAAACTGATTTTTTTTTTTACTGTGCAGTTTATTTTCATATTGTTTAGCTACACTTGGTCATATGCATAGTTGCATACATTTACTTGGGGCATTTTGTTTTTTATATACTTGCTAAATAAAAAGTGAGGAATTGGGTGAAGATTTTTTTTTTTAACTGAGTTGCTGTTAATTAGGACTAGGATTTTTATAACTGTCCTATTCAATTTCTGTTGAATGTAACATCAAGTAGTCTAACCAGTGATCTGTTGGTGTGATGGCGTAATGGCAAATAAAGTCTTTGCATTTGAAAGTTTCATGTTAGGAAGAGTCCTTTGAGTACAACTGTAGTATAACAGTAGAGTAGAAATTGCATATGAAATGCATGGCCTCTAATTTTTTTCCCTATATTTAAACCTTACCCTTCTTTATTAAAAACTGTAATATCATTTCCCAAAATTGCCATTTCATTTCATGCCTGCAAGTTAAGTTGTTTTCCTCAACGTTTTTTAGGTGAGTACCCAAAACATGAAGATGGGTGGGCTGCCGCGAACAACTCCTCCGACTCAGAAACCTCCCAGTCCCCCTATGTCAGGGAAAGGGACGCTTGGGTGAGTATAAAACTGAATAATAAATGCAAACTAATTTTGTCTAGTATTGTGTTAAAAACTAAACAGAGCCTATATTTAATTTTTTTTAATATTTACAGAGAATGTTTTCTTCCTCAGACCAATTATGTTATATGTATAACTTTTCTTTTCCTGGAAAACACTTTTATCAGAAAGATTATATTTAGAAATGATTTTTCTAATATTTTAATTTGGAGTTAACAACATAGTCCAAGTTAATGATTTATTGTAAAGTGCATCTAATTTTAGTTTTTTTTTTCTAGAGGAACTTGCAGTCTTGCTACAGTTGGACTTAGACTATCTTTTACAAGAATATGTAGATGATAAAATTCTGTGTAACTTGTTATAAGAATGCTGAGTTTGGTCCTCCAGAATTAGGTTCTGGATTTTGACATTTGCAGGCAAAAATGGTCAATTGATGGAAAAGTTTGACGTTCTTTTTCTGTGGCCTTAACTGTAAATGTGGTTTAACATGATCGGATCCATTGGGTGGGCAGAAAACAGACCAGACACTGCATGAGTACAGCTGTGGTCTGGCCCTGCAGCCTGCCGTGGGGTCTGGCTCTGCAGCCTGCAGGGGGGTCTGGCTCTGCAGCCTGCTGGGGGGTCTGGCTCTGCAGTCTGCTGTGGGGTCTGGCTCTGCAGCCTGCCGTGGGGTCTGGCTCTGCAGCCTGCTGTGGGGTCCTACAGAGGCAGCAGGACTTAAACAGTTGAGTTTTTTCATCTGTAAAAGGGGGTAATACTGTCTTGCATCAACTTTCTAGGATCAGTGCACCACAATTTGGATTTGTAAAAAAAATATATATAAAAGACAAGATGTTTTGGTTACCATTGGCTTCATGATATATGGCAACAAATTTTAATTGGCAGTCTTGTTTTGGCCCCCTCACCAAAAAAACAAAGCAAAACAATACACCAAACCGACAGGAACACCCCACCAGATGGCAGTGAAGCACGGGAGAGGAGACATCAGGCAGGGTGGCGTTCTCAGCAGCGTTATGAGGACAGTTGGAAGCAAATGAAACGGGTGATTTCCAATCAGTAGTAGAATAGCTGTATTTGAAGTAGACAAAAAATTGCTTTTTTGAATATAGAGGAAAGCATCTGCTGGGTTAAACTTGAGGGTAGCTTGCAAATGCCAGTAGATGTAACAGTAACTGTGTAAGAAGCACCAAGCTCAGGAGGGATGGTTTTTTCATGCAGAACATTGAAGTTTCTATTACATATTTGGTTTAATGTATTTTCTTAGTTATTAAAATCAGTAACGTGGGCAAGATCACCGGGGACCATTAGATGGTCACAGCCCGGTTCTGGGCACAGGCTTTGCCTAGGCACATATTTGTTCCTCTGTTTTTGTGTTGTTATTGTTGGTTTGTTCTTGTACTTAAATGATATCACTATTTTCACTCTATTGCTCTCAGTCAGTTTAGGGTTTTCTTTGAAGAAAACTATCTTCTGGGAAAAAATAGCTAAAAATCACATCTCCAGGAATTAGTCAGTTTTCTAATTTTTTATATTTGTATTAAAATTTCAGAGATGCCTGAGTTTTCGGCATTTTAAACCCAAACTCCTAGCATTATTTTTTTCTTCATTTGGCCAAATATCCTACGGAGTACACCTTATTTGCTTTAGATTATTTGTGTGTATATGTTTATGCAAAGAGACTTGGCAAGTCATAGAGTCATCAGGGTCCTTGTAGAATGATCTACTTACAGTCAGTTATCCTAAGTAAGAACTCAGGAAAACAGTGTTTAAAGGCCTGCTTAGGAGCCTTTTGAGAAATGAATTACTGAGAAATATGTAAGTCATTTGAGTAGCATAATTTGAGGAAAATAAATTTTTAAATTTGTACATCTCAAGATGTAAAGAGCAGAATTTGATCTACAGGATGTCCGTTTTTACGTCAGTTCTGACTATTTATCATTGTTACAATGATTTGGACACTTAGAGAGGAAAGCTAACTGATTATTTCAGCGTGCATCCTTTTTTTGTGTAAAATGTCCTTTCTTGAATTTCTTTTCCACTTTTAAAAGTAAATTTTGTGCAGAAGTGGGAAATACATATTCATAAGCTGGTTTATATTTTGCTCAAGTAAGATAGAAGCACTCAGGTGATCTTTAAAAACTACATTTTTCTGTGTCCCTTGTAAGTGCTAAAATGTGAGGAGAGAAAGAAGAAAGGGATGCAAAAGTGACAACTGAAGGAAAAAGTGAGTTAAGTGTGGAAGAAGACCAGGTTAAATTGTGTTGTTTTGTGTGCTCCTGTTTTAGCTGTGTGCGTTTTAGATACAGAAAGGGCAGTGAGTTGTTGGGGATGGTAAGGAGAATCAGGATGGTGGTTATTGATCCGAAAGTCCAGATGTGCCGTCGTCTCTTAGGTTACCCTCGGTTAGGGAGGAGAGGACGACTGGGGCGTTCGTGCAGCGCAGTGGGCGCAGTGGGCGCAGTGGGCAGAGGTGGACGGAATCTGCGAGTCGGGTTGGGACACACTGGTACAGGTGGTGGCGAACCTTTGTGCTTTCAGAGATTACATGAGCAAAATTGCATTAGCACAGGGAAATGAGGTTGGAGATGGAAAATTAACAATATATGCTCACCAGAACCCTAACGGTGGAGAAGTGAATCTCAAGACTACAATTGGTGGTGGGTTATGTTAAAACACCTTTCCTCTCTCTGATTTCAAATTGTATTTCAGTACTGGCAACTCTTGGAGTTTATTGTGCCGAAGCTTGCTTAATCACACGCTACATACGCTCTTCTTTTTGTAGGCGGCACTCCCCCTATCGCACACTGGAGCCAGTGCGTCCTCCAGTGGTTCCAAATGATTACGTACCTAGCCCAACCCGTAATATGGCTCCCTCGCAGCAGAGCCCTGTGAGGACAGCTTCTGTGAATCAAAGAAATCGAACCTACAGGTATTTTCTCTACCTCAGCGCAAAACGTGATGGTCATGGCACCATAATCTGGTCAGACAACCTCAATTCAATCTCTCTCATTTTCCACGCGCCAAGTTCTTTCCCTCACTCTACTCTCCAAACGTCATCTGATTCCACCTCGCTCTCCTCATGTCCTGATGCAACTTTGAACAGTTCAGGCAGGAAGTTGAATACAGCAGAGACCTCTCACAGTGCACATTCCTCTACAGGGTTAATAGTTTAGTTGATCCGCAAAAAATTATGGACCAGATGTGGGAAATTTCTAGTTTTTTGGTGGAACTTTACAGATGAAAAACTATACATCATTATGGGATAATACATCAAGATGCCATTGTAAAAATTAAGATTGATCACATCTGAATAGGCAAATGTTTTGATTATAAAGTTTCTTCAGATGAAAGGTTCAATTGGAACAGATGAAGGTGTAGTACGTATTTTAATATGTGGAGCCCCACAAGTTTTACGTTTATGGAGTTTTCGTTCCCAGTTTCTGTAGTGCATCTTATTAAAGGTGATCGAAACACGTGCCTTGAACCCAGACTTCCCCTCAGCCGAGTAGAAATCATGTGCGAAGTGGAAGGCTTTGGAGTTGTCTTTGTTGTAACTATATTCATTTCAGAAAATTTGGGGGACTGATGATGCTGTAGCTAAAAGCTCACGCGGTGGTGGCTCTGGTCTCTCCAGCAGCAGTGGCAGTAGCGGAGGGAGCCACCCGAGTAGCCGGAGCAGCAGCCGAGAGAACAGCGGCAGTGGGAGCGTGGGGGTGCCCATCGCTGTCCCCACCCCGTCGCCTCCCAGCGTCTTTCCAGGTAACATGTTCGCGATGCTTCTTCCTCTGCAGTTTTTCTTGCTGAGTTTGAACTAGATTTGTGATTTATTGACAGAATGTTCTTCAGGATCCAGAATTTTTTTCTGTTTAGGACTTAAAAAAACTAAGAGTCATTATTGATTTTTGTTTTTTAGCCAAGTGATTTGTTTTTGCTCACTGGGAACTTGATTGTTTTTTGTTTCTCTGCCTTGGGGCCTGGGCTCAGTCGGTGGGTTGAGTTTGTAGCACCTCTTTGAAATAAGTTAAATTCCAGCCGGGGTTACCATAGGTGTAGCTTTGCATGCAAGAGGGACTCCTGGGAAGAACCCTGTTAAACAAAGGACTGGAGCATTTAGTGAGCTGTTGGAGTTGCACAGTTTCCAAAACAGAAAGGTTGTTTATTTGGTCTTGGCATACCTGATATTAAATTTTAATTTTAAAAGCAAAACACAAAGATGGGTTATAATATTTCATATTATTTTAGAATATGACAAGTAGATAATTCCTTTTTAAAAACATGAAAAAAATTTGTTAAGTTCTGTTTTTAAATGACGAAATATTTGGAATGTATATTTTCTTGTGTAATTAAAAAAGGACTAGTGCTTTTTTTCTAATGAATTGTATTCTGTCTTTTTTAATTTTTAAAGATTGTTAGGCTAAAAGTAACAACTATAACAGGAGCACTCCCTCCTCCCCCCAAAGTGTAGTGGCTTTCATATAAAAAATTTTTTTGTTTTGTTTTTAATGAATTATAAAAAAAACTGTATATTGCCCCTGAACATCTTGAATTATTTGCTGCATACCTGGTAGTTCTTTAACATAAGCTTCCTTCTTTGCTTTCAATTCTCTGTTCTTTGGATTGGTGTTCAGCACGGAAGATCTGCCATTAACTGCTCAGTTGCCTTTTCTGGTCCCGCCTGATGTGACCACCTCGTTAATGCTGGCTCTTCCTCCTCTCTCCCTCAGCCCCTGCTGGCTCCGCTGGCACTCCTCCCCTTCCTGCTGCTTCTGCATCTGCTCCCGCCCCTCTCGTTCCTGCCACTGTCCCCCCCTCCGCTGCCCCTGACGCGGCTGCCGGGGGTGCCCACACCCTTGCCGATGGCTTCACTTCTCCAACTCCCCCCGCTGTTTCTTCTGCTCCCCCTGCAGGTGAGTATTGCAAGCAGGGGCAGTCATCTAGGTGTTTTCCTATCTGGGATTCTGGAAACCAGCTTTAAGGTGCCTTGTTTGGCTTGGTTTCTACTTTGAAAAAAAAAAAGTATGAATAATAATAACAGTAACTAGAAACTAGCACGTAACTAAAGAATTTCCTGGTGGAAAAAAAAATTGAGGTAAAGTTTCTTATACTTTGATTCTTCCAATAAGGGCACAAATACGATTGTTTTTGTTTGTTTTTACTGCTTTAATTTTCTTAAAGATTTATAGATTCAGTGTGGAGCTGCCTTCTACATTTTTTTTCCAGAAATTCTTCTCAGAAATACTGTTTGAGGGGATGACTTCGTGCGTAGAGGGCTAATTCTCACTGTAATGCTTGTGTCCTCTATGGGCACCAGTTCAAGTCCTGGCTGCTCCACTTCTGATTCAGCTCCCTCTGTATAGCCTAGGAAAGCAGTGAAAGATGGCTCAAGCCTTGGGGCCTGCCTCCATGTGGCCGACTTGTGAGAAGCTCTTGGATGCTAGCTTCAGATCAAGTTCAGCTCCAGCCGCTCCAGACAGTTGGCTGAATGGCTAGTGGACAGAAGTGAACCAGAGGATGGAAGACCTTTCTCTCTCTCTAAATCTGCCTCTCAGATAAAAATGAATACATCTTTTTTCTTAAAAACAAAAAAAAGGGGGGCCCAGCGTGGTGGTGCAGTGGTTAAGGTCTTTGCCCTGCACGCCCGGGATCCCATGTGGGCACCGGTTCTAATCCCGGTGGCCCCGCTTCCCATCCAGCTCCCTGCCTGTGGCCTGGAAAGCAGTCGAGGACGGCCCAAAGCTTTGGGACCCTGCACCCGCGTGGGAGACCCGGAAGAGGCTCCTGGCTTTGGATCGGCATAGCATCGGCCGTTGTGGTCACTTGGGGAGTTAATCATCGGACGGAAGATCTTCCTCTCTGTCTCTCCTCTCTGTATATCCGCCTTTCCAATAAAAATAAAATAAATCTTTTTTTTTAAAAAAAGGAAATACTGTTTGGTAAAGGTTAAGTAGTAAGAATTCTAAGGCACACTTTATAGGAAATATTTGGTGAAATACATTTTTAAAGCTGTTAAGTATGTTAATATAATCAGTTATTCTAGCAGCATTGGAAATTTTTACGCAGTGAGCTTTTAAAGTTTATTTTGAGGTTTAAAATTGCAACCTGAAGTCTATTTTGATGGAGGAGGAGATAAAATTCTATTACCAGAAATTGTATTTGAATACTTAACAGTGATGCTGGTTACCAAATATGTTCTTTTTATTTTAAATATTTGTTTATTTTAAAGGCAGAGTTAAAGAGGAGAGACAGAAGTCTCCCGTCTGCTGGTTCACTCCCTAATCGATCGCAGTGGCCTGGCCACAGCCAGGAGTTTCTTACGGATCTGCCATGTGGTGTAGGGATCCCAGCACGTTGGCCATCCTCTGTAGCTTTCCCAGGAACATGAGCAGGGAACTGCAAGTGGAGTAGTAAAGACTCAAACTGGCACCCATGGGTGATGCTAGCGCTGCAGACAGCAGCATAAGCCACTGTGCATGATGCCAACCTCAGTAAACATAACATGTTAGCATTTAGCCTACAAATATTTTACGGAATATTTAACTCTGTTCCTCTAACATGCTGTTTACATGTTTCGGAACACTTTGAGCTAAAATTGATTTGGGGTGGTGTTTTATGGGTTAGCTTCTGTGCCAGATTAAAAGAAAATTTCGGTAGTGGTTAAGTGTAAACCTGAGCTATCACTTGATCTGCAGAAAGGTCTGTTAGGCAATACAGACTGGTGAAGTGGAGGAATCTTGGTTTGCCCCTGTTTCAAGAGAATGAAAATACATCTTAAAAATGGCTGTCATCTCAGGAAGGGAAATTGTCCCCCCAACTGAGTCAACAATTTTGTAACTAAATGGTGATTTAGTAGCAGATGCCTAAATAAACTATATTTAACTAAACCGTTATGTGAGTTAATGATCATATCTTAAAAAAGCAAGCTAAATGTCTCACTAATAACTTACATCAGTGTAAGCTGTTACCAGTGTTTGGCTCACCAAATAATTTTTCATTTGTTTTAAAATTAAGGTATAGTTTATGTGCAGTAAGACCCATCTTGTCTATATGTACAAATGAACTTGAAAATATTTGTGAAAAAACAATTGGAAGAATGAGTTCATTTTGGTGCAAAAAAAATTTAGCTGATGTTAATGTTTTTTCATACAATTTGGAAAATGTGTATTGTGAAAACATTTTACATGGATTACAACATTTTCAGGGCGTGGTGGGTGGGGAACCAAAATAAACTTGACTTCATTTTGCCATGAACTTTCTGAAGAAACTGAATGTGTCTGTGAGTCTGGGCATAGATACTTGGTCCTGCGGTCACACCACATCCAGGTCTAGAGCTGTCTTGGCCTCCTCTCCTTCCATTCCTCGTAGCCCTGCAACCCTTTGAGTGCATTCCCTTAAATTGTTTCTGTAAGAATATTGTATAATTGGAAATAGGCAACATATGGCCTCTTGTGTCTGGCCTTTTGGTCGGATGTGTTTAAGACTTACAGCCGTTGTATGTGTAAGTGTTCTGCCCCTTTTCACCCACGAGTGGGGTCTTCTGGTACGGAGGCATCACATTTAGCCTCTTTCCCAGCTGAAGGACATCTGGACTATGAGCAGTTCTGAATGATTATGAATAGAACTGCTGTAAACATTTACAATGTAGGTCTTTGAACAAAGATGTTTTTAGTATTTGTAACAGTTCCTTTGTTCCTAAAGGGCCATCAGTGGCTGGGGCTGGGCCATGCCACACCTGGAGCGTTGTGAGTCTCCATGTGGATGTCATGAACCCAGTCACTTGAGCCCTAGAATATGCATGAACAGAAATGAAAACTGAAATTGGGATTGTGGTCAGGGTTCAAACCCAGACACATATGCATGGGATGAATGCTTTATTATTATTATTTAATATTTACTTACTTTTATTAGGCATATTTATGGAGAAAAGGAAAGACAGAAAGATCTTCCATCCACTGGTTCACTCCCCTTATGGCTGCAATGACCAGAACTGAGCGATTCGAAGCTAGAATTTGGAACTTCTTCCAAGTCTCCCATGTGGATGCAGAGTCCCAAGGCTTTGGTCCATTTGCTGCTGCTTTCCCAGGCCCCAAGCAGGGAGCTGGGAGGGAAGTGGAGCAGCTGGGACATGAATTGGCGCCATAATGGGATTCTGGTGCTTGAAGGTGGAGAATTGGTCAGTTGAGCCATTGTTCCAGGCCTGAGGTGAACATTTTAACCACTCGACAGAATGCTTATCCCTGAACAGAGGTTTTATTTTTTCCCCATTGGGTTAATGCCTGGCAAGAAGGATCACCAGGTTAACAAACGCTAATGTTACTGGCTGTAACATTTTGTACCTTCACCAGTGATGTATCTGATTTCCAGTTACATTGTTCAGTATTTGTAACTGTCACTTCTGTTGTGTGTGTTTCTTTTTTTTTCTTTATTATTATTATTATTATTTTTTTTTTTTGAGAGGCAGAGAAACAGATTGCCAGTGGTTCAGACACCAAATATGCACAACAGCTGGGGCGAGGCTGGGTTGAATCTGGGAGCCAAGAATTCTATGTTTCCCACATGGGTGACGTGGGCCTCATCACTTGAGCCATCACCTGCTGCCTCCTAAGTCCTACATCAACTGGAAGCTCAGTAGGGAGCAGAGCCAAGGACTCAAGCTTGGACAGTCTGCTGCGGATGTGGACATCCTAGGCAGCGTCCTAACCCCTCGGGCAAATGTGCCCTCCTCCCCTCCTTTTTTTTTAAGCTAGCTATAGCAACTTTAGTAGACATATGTTGAGTTCTCATGTGGTTTTGATCTTCAGTTCCCTAGTGCCTAATGATGTTGATGTCTTTTGTTTTGGAGGCAGAGAATCCTCATCTTCTGGCTCACTGCCCTGGAGCCTGCCATGGTGGTACAGGCTGAAGTCAGAGTCAGGAGCAGGGAGTACAGACCAGGTCTCCCACCTGAGCCGTCACTGCTGCCTTCCAGGGGCTGCAGTTGGCAGGAAGCTGGAGTCAGGGACCAGCACTGGACATTGGACCAGAGCAGCCTTACATGAGAAATGAGCTGCTTGACCGTTAGGCTAAGCCCCTGCACTCATCGGCTGCTGGTACCCGTGCCTGCTTTCCTGCCACGTGCATCTCTTTGGTGAAGTAGCTATTGAAGTGTTTGTTCCTCTTGTATTCAGAATGCAAGTCCTTTAGCAATTATGTGAGCTGCCAATATGTTCTTCCATTTTTGTGACTTACGTTTTCATTTTCTTAATTGTGTCTTTCAAATACAAGAAGTTCAAATACATCTATTTGATTAAATATTCTTTTCTTTCATGGATTGTGCCTTTGGTAAGAAGTGTTTACCTAAAGGCATACACATTTTTTATTTGTGTTTCCTTTTTCTTCTAGAAGCTTTTAGTTTTTGGTCTTAAAGTTAAGTTTGACAGCTGTACTTTTATTTTTAAACCTAAAGCAAGATAAATTGCTTCAGTATGGAAAGCATCTGTTAAGTACTGTTTTTAAATCATTGTGGTCTCACAAAGTGAGATTTTGAGCTAGATTTAAGACTATATATAACTCACAATTTGGTAATCCTGTTTTTAAGTTCTAGGTTTGTATTACTGTATTATAGTTTATTCTTACTAAAATGGCAGTTAAATATTTGTAAAATGATTCAAATATGTCTTTTAAGCAGTTTACATGTTTATCTTTTTATCATGGCTATAGAATTCTCAGTTGACAGGTTTAAAGCTTGAATACACAAATTTGTTAAAATAATTTGTTTGTTTGAAAGAGTTAGAGAGGAAGGGAGTAGGACAGACCCTTCAGCCACTGGTTCACTCCCGAATGGCTGCAGCAGCCAAGAGCTGCCCACTCGCTCATGTGCTGCTGACACCCAAGCGCTTGGACCGTCCTCTGCTGCTCTCGGGACGCCTTTGCAGGGTACTGGGCTGGAAGTGGAGCACCGCCCGGTGCAGGGCCATGCACACGTGGGATCCTGATGCTGCGGCAGTGGCTTTACCCCCTACGCCTTGGGTCATGCATTTTTTCTTTGGTTTCTAAATGCCATTCTGTTTGAGTTTTCTGTGGTTGGTAGCTTTTTATTTTCCTTGTGTTTGGTAGGGAGAAGGCTTTCTGTGTGTTTGTGCTCTTGTGACAATAACATAAACTGATTCGTTTAGAAACAGTAAGCGTTTCTTCGGTTCATGGTTCTGGAATCTGGAAACTGAAATCCATTCCAGTGGTGACTTGCTCACTCCTGTAAATAGTGGTGTTAATGCATTCATATATGACAGAGCCCTCATGATGTAATCACTTTTAAAATTCCACCTTCTAAAATTATTATATTAGGGATTGTTTTCAACACATTAGCTTTTGTAAGGGATAGATTCAAGTTATATCAAGGCCTATAACTTAAATGGTAATTATTTTAAAACCTTATTATTAATTTAATAAAAGCCTAGTATTATCAATTATTTATTTAGATATAAATTTCCTGGAATTAATAATATTTTATTTACTTTTGGCTTTTGTACTTTGATATGACAACTGACAATAACTGTTGGCTTATGCTTTTCAGATAGCAGATAAAGTGGCTAGATGCTGTTATTTTAAATAGTCTTAGTAAGATCCAGGTAGTACACATGAAGCATTTCGTCATCTAAGGTAATGTTCTTTTAATGAAAGAGTCCTGTTCTGTCCCGTTTTCCAGGCCATCCTGTTCAGTTCTACAGCATGAATAGGCCTGCCTCTCGCCACACTCCGCCAACCATAGGGGGCTCGTTGCCCTACAGGCGTCCTCCTTCCATGACTTCACAGACGAGCCTTCAGAATCAGATGAACGGAGGACCTTTTTATAACCAGAATCCAGGTTAGATTTTCTCTTGCATGCTGTAGAATGTATCTAATGAGAAACCTTCCATTTAATAAAACCCTTTAGTTACAGGTAACTAGTACATACTAGGTGGTTAGTAGTATTTGTTGAATGAGTAGAATAATAATCAGTGAATCAGTCCTGGGTTGCTTAATATTGTCTTCTAATTCTTTTTCCTTTTAAATAAATGTATGGTTTCCATGTAAGGTAGAATCTACATTTTTTTTTTTTGACAGACTCCTTTTAAATGTCCTAGTCTTTAATTTACTTTTTAAAATAGTATTGGGATGAACAGCATTTCCTATTTATTGGCACATATACTTTACTCTGTGAATAGCCAAAAATGAAAAATTGGATTACATAAACAAAATCTGTGACAAAGGAAAATGAAAATGGCATTTTGAAATTACATTGTGCTAGGCAATTAGTTAACTTCTCACACCAGATGTGTATTGGGCAAACCAGGGCTTAGGGCAATTGACCCAGATAGAAGAGGCAATTATAATCAACGGCCAAATGCATCATGCATACAGATAAAATTGACCTGGCACGAGTGTAATGCTGAGCTGATTCCCTAGAGGACAGGGGCAAGTGTTAGACTCACTCCTCGGGTGGATATGTTTGTCAGCTTTGACTGTGTTTTTCTGGATTCTTGCCAAGAGATGACCTAAGTCTGTTAGCATTTCTGATACTAGAACTTCTTATAAGCTCTGATTTAATAGAACTGAAATTTGTCCTTAGTGGGAACCTTAGTTATTTCTTTTGCCATATTCAAAAAGAAATTTGGTCTTTTTCCTACTGAGAACTTACAAAGACTGTTCTGTGTTCTCTATGTTTAGAATCGTGTACAGAGCAGGACTGGGGATGCTGTTTGGTCTGTGTTTTGCAGGTGAGGAAGCTAAGGCTGAAGTGATGGGCAGGTTAGGAACTGAAGTGGCTTTGGACCTGGCTCTCCACGGTCTTTGTTGTCCTACCTTCCTTCAGATTTTGAAGTAACCATTCTCTTACTCTCCTGCATCCCCCTCTTTTGAGGGACGGGGCAAGTGGAGCAGGGAGGTGCCCTCACTGTGCTGTGCAGTGTGTGAGCGCTGAGCTCTGCCCGTGTCTGTACTGCCTCGCTGAACGCACTTCTCTTACTGCTGTCACTGTGCTTGGCTGCCATTCTTTTATTCATTTTGAGACTAAACTTAGACAAAAATACCTGAGTCTTTCACACACACTGCTTTTAAATCATGCTGTGCAAGCTCACAGTTGTTCAGCCACTGTTTTACAGTTACTGTATTCTTGAATCTGAGTTGTTTCTGATGTAGCCTGTTTTAGAGTCCTGCTGAAGACGAGTTTCTCCTTGGCCCAGATAGACGTCTGAGTAATTACTGCTTAAGGCCCTTGGGTATTTCACTTTATTCTTACGTTGCGTTTTGAAAGAATAGTGTCAGTCCTGAGGGAGCGCAGGTGTTTCACTGTTCAGCTCAACGCCAAGCATATGTGATAGATAGCGAGTATATGTGGAGATATTTCTCTTTAAGATTTTTTTCTTACTTCACAAGGTTAAGAAAGAGAAGGAGAGAGAGAGAGAGAGAGAGAGAGAGAGAGAGAGAGACCTTCTATCCACTGATTCACTCTCCACATGGTTGTAACAGCTGGGACAGGGTCAAGCCTGGGACTAACGGAGCCAGGAGCCAGGCGCTTCTTCTAGGTCTCACCTGGGTGGCAGGCACCCAAGGACTTGGGCCATCTTGCTCTTTTCCCAGGCAAGTTAGCAAGGAGCTGAGTTGTAAGTGGGGCAGTCTGGACTTGAACCAGCACCCAGGTGGTACTGTTGCTGTAGGCAGCATTTAACTCGCTATGTCACAGACTCCCCCAAGTGGAGATATTGTTTATTGTGTATATACACACACCAGTATAGTTCCGTGAGAACTGTGTCGGTAGAATCTATTTGAAAGCTCTTGAAGTATATATTTAATATTTCCAAAATAAATATTTCACCAAAGTTTGCTTGGAAATCTGTTCAAATTTTCTTTGTAAATATGAAAACACATGTAACAAGCGGAAGCAGACTCCCCTTATGGAATGGTTGTGTTGAAAGTATTTTTTGGGCCCGGCGCGGTGGCGCAGTGGTTAAGGTCCTCGCCTTGCACACCCGGGATCTCATATGGGCGCCGGTTCTATCCCGGCAGCCCCGCTTCCCTTCCAGCTCCCTGCCTGTGGCCCGGGAAAGCAGTCAAGGACGGCCCAAAGCTTTGGGACCCTGCACCTGCGTGGGAGACCTGGAAGAGTCTTCTGGCTTTGGATCGGCATAGCATCGGCCGTTGCGCTCACTTGGGGAGTGATACATCGGACAGAAGATCTTCCTCTCTGTCTCTCCTCTCTGTATATCCGCCTTTCCAATAAATAAATAATAATAATAATAAAATAAATCTTAAAAAAGAAAGTATCTTTCGCACTCGGGAAAGAAGCAGGAGTTGACATTATTTGGGCCTTTGCTGTAAAATGTGAGGTAGTTGAGCTGTGATTTGTTTTCTTGTACTCTTCTCTAGAAACATTTTCCCTCCTCGCCAAGGTGCTCTTTGTACACTATTGCTTGCTTGCTTCCCTCCCTCCCCTCTCCCCCTGCGCTTCTTTTTGGGGAAGCTGTTTTTGTAAGACTTCATACTGTGTGAGTCAAATATTTAAGGCTATTCAATCTGTCTTCATTTGGTTTGTTTTAGAATATTATATAAGCCTCTGCCATTACTCCCACTGGTCCTGTAATGGTTCCTGGTTTTTCAGAGTTAAACTGAAAGAACTTTTGTACGTCATATGGCTAATTCTCTGATTTAACAAAGTGAAGGCAGGTGTGTGTTTTATGAGCCTGTTTATGAAGTTGGAGCCTTGCCATGGGTGCATGCTTCTGGAATGAACTGACAAGTCAGTGGGAATTTGTAAGGTGCAAATTTTGCAGCACAGTTAACTGCATTTGTTAATGCACAATTGGGATTAACTTGAAAGATGGCATTACAGTATAGAAATTATGGAGACTCTTGTGTAGTGCCAAATCCTAGAAGCACAGTAATTGTTTCCTGTGGGATTATTTTCTAATGAGATTATTTTAGAGAAAGTCATTCTTTGCTCAGGGCGTAACTGAAACCCCTTTGGTTCTCATTGTGTAATCTAGGCAAAGAACAGGAATACTAGTTTATTTTTCATCTTGCCGGTGGTCAGGAGAATCATAGAAACACTTAGGGCTAGGTGTGAGGTCACTCCTGACTGTGAAGGTAAACACGAAGCCCCTTGGTACCAAGGAGGAGTGAACGAGCACGCGGATCTTACTGTATGTATGCTACGGACAGAGCACTGATAAGCCCAGCTGTGTACGGAGTCAGGAATGTGGAGTTTGAGCACCAAGACTTTTAGTAGAAACTAGCCTATGCTTTACTAATCATATTTTCCTAAAGGCTTTTAAAGAAAGTACAATTTATAAAGTGGGAAATTGCTTTTAAAAGTATACTTATATATAGTCATATGATGAGATAGAAGAACGTATAAATTAATATGCGTTTTTACAAAGGAAAAATGCCAGGCTTAGCTTTTTCTTTCTAATGGTTTTGGAACTAGAAAGTAGTAATTTTGAAGATTTATTTATTTTGTTTATTCAAAAGGCAGGTCTACAGAGAAGAAGAGACAGAAAGGTCTTCCAATCTCTGCTTCACTTTGTAAATGGCCACAGTGACTGGAGGGGAGTTGATCCAAAGCCAAGAGATTCTTCTGGATCTCCCATGTCGGTTCAGGGTTCCAAGGACTTGGGCCATCCTCTACTGTTTTCCAGGCCACTAACAGAGGGGTGGATAAAAAAATGGAACTAGAACATGAACCAGCGCCAATAGGGGATCCCAGAGCTGGTAGGTGGAAGATTAACCAATTGAACCGTCACACTGGGGCTCAGGCTTAACTTCTGAAAGATGTTAAAGAAAGAAAAAAGCTATTAGGCCTGGTACAGAAGCCTAGCGACTAAAGTCTTCGCCTTGCAAGTGCCAGTATCCCATATGCGTGCTAGTTCTAATCCATGTGTCCTTGCTTTCCATCCAGCTCCCTGCCTGTGGCCTGGGAAAGCAGGTGAGGACTGCCCAAAGCCTTGGGACCCTGCACCCGCGTGGGAGACCTGGAAGAGGCTCCAGTCTCCTGGCTGCAGATCGGCTCAGCTCCAGCCATTGTGGCTGCTTGGGGAGTGAACCATCGGATGGAAGATCTTCCACTCTGTCTCCTCTCAGTATATCTGACTTTCCAATAAAAATAAATAAAAAAAATTAAAAAGAATAGTGAAAGACATTGCTGCAAAAGAGCAGCTTTATCAAATGTTCTGTTATTGTGAATATGCTGCGGTGTCCTGTGACTCTCCAGGACACAGTGTGTGGGCTTTGGCAGAGTGTTTGTAGGGAGCAGCAGCAAGAGGCGGTCCTCGGTCCTTGGTCCTCGGATCCTCTTGGGCCAGGCAGCCCTTAGGCCTTATCAGGGAATCCTGAGGAAGACAGAGCAGCAGAGTATCTTACAGGCAAGTTAGACCCTTCACACTGACTGTTAAAGTTAGCTTCGTTTCTTTCTTTTTTAAGATTATTTTTTTTATTGGAAAGTCAAATATACAGAGAGGAGGAGAGAGAGAGAGGAAGATCTTCTGTTGGTTGATTCACTCCTCAAGGGAGCTCAATGACCAGAGCTGAGCTGACCTGAAGCCAGAAGCCCAGAGCTTCTTCTGAGTGTCCCACACGGATGCAGGGTCCCAAGGCTTTGAGCTATCATCAGCTGCTTTCCCGGGCCACAAGCAGGGAGCTGGATGGGAAGCAAGGGCATATGGATTAGAATTGGTGCTGATATGAGATCCTGGCATGTGCAAGGCGAGGACTTTAGTTGTGCAGCTACCGTGTCCGACCCTAAATGCCCATTATTTTAAGTTACTGTTCATGTTTAGAAAATATTTTGTTTTAAAATAAATTGCTGGGAAAATAAAGAAATTGCTGAAGATAATTCCTTTCGTGGAACGTAAAAGATAAAGCAGCTAAATTCAAATGTAGTATTATAAGTAAATATAACCTCTTAAAATAATTTTTAAAATAATAAAAAGTAGTGTTAGAGTTTTTACTTAGTCTAATTCTTCAGAATATAAAACTGTAAAAAAAAAAATAAGGTGTAAAGGCTAAGTGTGTACAGTCCATTGGGCTTCTAAAAGCAACAAGCCTCAAGAGATTATGCTTCTGATGGCTTTGTGAATAAGCAGGCGGTTAAACGTGAGGAGTCTGTTTCATCAGCCGACTGACTCATCTCTGCAGCGTGGTCTGCTGGCTGTGTGCGCCTAGCCATTCCGGCTGTGAATCCAGCCAGCCCCTCTGTAAACTCGAGTCTGTACCTTCCGTCCTGTGCGTTGTGAAAGCACTCAGCCAAGTGCAGGTTTGGACACCTTTTGAGGGACAGAGCCACATGAGGATTGCTTTCTGTTCTTGTCTGTTCACGAGATGTCCAGGACATAAACTGAATGTCACAGTCAGTTCTTTGCATCAAAATTCTCCTGGTGTGTTCCATCTAGTCTGCAGTATGCTACTCTGTTATGGTCTGATTCACAGGAATTCTGGTCAGATGAAATCTTGCTGGGTCTCAGGAGCAAATGTTGTGATATCAGATTTAATTTGGATCATCATGGTAGTTTGCAGTGAGCAAAAAAGTAGATTTTGTAATGATTTGTGTAAACAACTGTAAATTGAGCTTTTTCAATGTGCTTTAAAGTAGCATTGACAAAAGAAAATCTTGGTTTTGTTTTTTACCTGGCTACTGCTGGTGGACAACTATGGTTTCAGATAAAGAGAAAGAAAAAGTGTTATTGCAAAACTCTATGGGTTTTTTCCGCAGCTTCCTGCAGAAGTAAAAGGCCAGGAACCAAGTGCAAACAGAGAACTTTTATTTGCAAAGTGAGCAGGTGAACAAGGTGAAGCATCTCCCAGGAGAGAGCCAGGAGACAGGGTGCTTCTTGAATGGAGAGATGCTGAGATATGGAGGTTCTAGGAAGTGTCTTGGGTTAAGTGGTCGCTCCTCCTCCTCTGGCTGGGGAACCTGCAGAAAAGACACTCCCCATCGGTGGGGTCTCAGCCAATTAGCAAATGGCTGGGCAGTTCCTATGCCTCCTGCTTGCAAGTGCGGGTTCCTGGCCGAGATTTCAATGGTCTTGGATGCTCTCAAAAAGCAGTAAAGCCTGTGAGTTTCTTATTTTTTTAACAGAGAGAAAGGAAATAAGATAGAGAACTTATGTTTGCTGGTTCACTCCCCAAATGGCCACGTATGGGCAGAGCCTAAACCAGGAGCCCAGTGCTTCTTCCAGGTCTCCCTGTGGGTGCAGGGCCCAACCACTTGGCCCATCTTCCATTGCCTTTCCATGGGTGTTAGCAAGGAGCTGGGTTGGAAGTCGGGCAGGTGGGTCTTGAACTGGTTCCTGTATGGAATGCCAGCACTTCAGGAGGAGGCGTACCACACCCAATGCTGGCCTGAGTCTCTTAGTCTTAAATATTAAAGTCCGCCTATGCGTGGAAAGACTTGTAAGATAGCCACGTAATTATTTTCTTTTTTAGTGTGGTGTCCAAAAAGACCATATGTGTATTTTTTATTTGGTAATGAAAGTTGAAATTTCCTACTTTTCTCTTTCAAGGAAGGTTGTGGTACCTGCCGACGGGAGGGGAGCATCTTGACTTTGTTAATGTGGCCATGGATCTCTCTGCTTTTCTGGTGCCGGCTCTTGGCTACTGCTGCTCCTGTGTGTAACCTCTTCTCTCTCTGCTTCCCCCATTCGCTGCCTCTGCTTCCCCCAGATGTTGCAAGCTGGGTATTATGAACATAGCAACAGCTATGAGGTCATGAGCCAGCCACAAACTGACAAGCCAAAGGTTTTTTGTCAAGATGTGTGACTAGGGAAAAACTAAGCCAAAGGTATTATGAGGTTTTGTCTGTGTGTTTATAGTTTATTTGAAAGAGAGAAAAACACACAGACACAGGTGCACAACACATATACACATTTGGGGAAGGATCTTCCGTCTGCTGGTTCACTTCCCAGATGACTTCAGTGACTAAATTGAAGCCAGGCACTGCAGATCTGCGTTTGCTGTGTGGGTGCGAGGGCCCGATTACTTGGGCCAGTCCTGCTTCCCAGGCCGTTAACAGGGAGCTGGATCAGAAGCAGAGCATCCAGGACTTGAACCAGCGCACTGATGAGATGCTGGCGCTGCGGGAAGTGATTAAATAGGTTGTCCTTCTCTGTCAGATGTTACTTCTCTACTGATGAGCACTAACTCTGTACCTCCTGATTTGTTTTTATACACACCATCCAGATTAACTAGTTGTCTTCTGTATTTATGTTGCAGTTACTCTCCTACACCTGGTTTATCACATCAGTCTCTCACTCTTGCCTGCTCCCCAGCCTGTGCTTTCCCCTGATGCCTGCTGAGTGTAGTTAGCAAGGCCTCTGCCTTCCACCTCACAATCGCTCTCGGCTTGTTAGAAAATATTCTTTTCAGAACTAAGTTTCCCCTTTTCTTTCCCTTTCTAGACACAGTCTTGATTATGGGCCAGACCTTGTCTTTCTGCAACCATGGTTGCCCTTTAATCTTTGCAAATAGTATGCAGAGTAAGAATCATTATCTTGTTGATAATCATTATCTCTTGGATGAGGAAGGCGTGAAGAAGTTAGTTGACTTCAAAGAGCAAGGGGAGGCAGGAGCAGGAACTTGAGGCTGCATGTCCTAAACCCACCGTGTTTCCACCAGTTGTCTCTGTCCTGGTAGTAGGCAGGGTCCTTCTCTATTTCCTGTTTGCCCATCCTTTGTTCTGAGGTTTGATTTCATTTGGGTCCAGCTTGTGCTAGCCAGATGGGAAAATTCCTCCAGTCCTGTGACCTGGTCATCCTTCTAAGCCTTTGCCCTCACTGGGTTGTTTTTCTAAACCCTTGTCTGCTTGGCAAAGTCCTTTCCTTCCAATGTCAGCCCAAAGGTCATTTCTTAGAGCTTTCCCTTCCCCTCGCCCCCTCTCCTACACACACAGCAGGGAACTGCTGTACACACACTGTTGGGTTAAGAAGATTTTCTCTTTTTGATTTTCAGTGCCATCTCCTTGAAGGCAGACACATACTTGTCTTTTTAATCTGGTGTCTTAACCGTAATTTTGGGTTAATAAGGCATTCTTATAAGAAGATGCAGTTAGTATTTTACAACCAGACTGTATTGCTAATCTTGTGCATTGTTTGACAGGCATACCCCTGCCTTATTTGTGCATTTACTTATGTTGAACATTTGTGGAAGGTTTACTTGTGCTAGGCATTGTCCCAGTTATGGGGGAGTACGAAACATTGTCATGACACGACACCTGACTCTCTGAAAGGTTTTGTGTTTTTAAGATTTATTTGTTTAGTTGGAAGACAGAGCAGGTGAGAGAAAAAGAGAGATCTTTCATTTGCTGGTTCACTCTCCCAAATGGCTGCCAAGGCCACGGCTGGGCTGAGCTGAAACCAGGAGTCTAGAACTCCGTCCATGTCTTCCAAGTGGGTGCTAAGGCCCAAGAACTTAGGCCATCTTCTGCGTTCCCAGGCACATTAGCCTGGAGCTGGATTGAAAGTGAAGCAGCCTGGATTTGAACCAGTATCTGCAGGATGCCAGCATTACAAGGGGCAGCTTATCTGGTTGTGCCACAGTGCCAGCTGCAGAGAAAAGTTTTGGTGATAATGACCATAATAAGTGCTTGCAACTTGGTAGAAAATCAGCAGATATTATGTTTAACTAATGAATCAAGAACCAATTAGTTTCCATTTGTTGAAAAACTATAAGGTGTACGTTTATGATGTAATTTTTTCTCCTGTGTTGATACACATTTATGCTTGTTACTTTAAAATTTTTCTGAAAAATCAGTTATTCATGATGATTTGCAGTCTTTTTGAGAAGACATGTTAAAGATATGGAAAACATGGGTTGCTATTAGATGTAAGTGCAAATGTTTCTAGGTTAATTTTTAAAAACATCAAAAACTCCCTTACTGTCGGCTTTATGTGTATGCATGAATCAGTCCTCAGAAGATGCTCCTCGTGCCAGCTTATTAAATGTTTGTGAAGACGACTGGTTTCTTCCTGTAAATGTTTGTTTTATTGTATTACCCTTCCTTGGAGTGGAACCTGCCCTTACCCCTTTTCCTCCGCACCTTTTTTGTTTTTGCAGTACCTCTTGCTCCTCCTCCTCCCTCCATCCTACAGGTAACTCCTCAGTTACCTTTAATGGGATTTGTGGCCAGAGTCCAAGAAAATAGTAAGTTTGTATCTTCTTTATGCTGTAGATCAGACTGTAGGCTTCAAATGTCATTTCTATAGCACTGACTGGATGCTCATTCATTCACTGATGCTTCATATTTCACTTTTATGACAAGCCGCTGGCTGAAGGGAATGACAAAATAACTGATGGAATTTTTTACTTTAAAATCGCTTAAAATCTAGTAGTAAAGGCAAAATAAGGTGTATGTGAGGAAAGATTCTGTACAAATGGGATGATACTTTAACCACCAGGTGTCCTGGTGTCTTTTTTTCAGTTGCTCCAACACGTAGAATTCTGGTTTTTTGAGACTGGAGTTTCAGGGGTGTTACAGATCTGAGATTCCTAGTCTTGGGTTCCAGGTTGATAAAGGGCCCTACCTTGGGAAGGCCCGGAAGACCAGGCTGCTTGTTTGTTTCCACATAATACCTCTTCATTTGACAAGGAATTTATCTTCAGTCTGTGCTCTAGTGTAGCTTTTTTTTTTAAGAGTTATTTTTAAATTTTTATTGGAAAGTCAGGTATTCAGGGAGGAGGAAAGACAGAGAGGAAGATCTTCCATCCATTGATTAACTCCCCAAGTGGCTACAGTGGCCGGAGCTGAGCTGATCTGAAGCCAGGAGGCTGGAGCCTCTTCCAGGTCTTTCACGTGGGTGCAGGATCCCAAGGCTTTGGGTCGTCCTTGACTGCTTTCCCAGGCCACAAGCAGGGAGCTGGATGGGAAGTGGGACTACCAGGATTAGAACTGGTGCCCATATGGGATCCTGGTGTGTGCAAGGTGAGGACTTTTAGCTTTTAGGTTACCACGCCAGGCCCTGTGGTCTGGTTTTGAACCAGGTAGAATTAGTTATCAAGTCTTCTGGTTAAGGCAGGGAGCATTAAGAAAGTTGAGAATGGCCAGAAATGAAACGATCCATATCAAATTCATGAATGAATGAAAAATCTGTATGATAGATGAATTATATCTTGAGAAGTCTACATGAGAAAACAGTGCAATCATAACGCTGCATGGAATTTTTAAAAAAAAGATTTATATATTTGAAAAGCAAAGTTAGAGAGGTTTTCGCATCTGCTGGTTCATTTCCCAGAGGGCCACAACAGCTGGTGCTGGGCCAGGCAGAAGCCAGGACCCAGGAGCTCATTTTGGCTCTTCCATATAAGGGGCAGGGACCCAGCCACTTAAGCTATCTCCCATTGCTTTTCCAGGTGTATTAGCAATGAACTGCATTGGGAATGGAGAAGCTGGGGGTGTGAACCAGTACCCTTATAGGATGCTGGCACTGCAAGCTGAGCTTGAACTTGCCACAGCTTTAGCGCCAGGAATCTTAAGTAGGGAAATTAAAGTTTTAATTCTATCTGGCCACAGCAGGCCAGTGTTAGCATCTCTTAACAAGCTGGCCTCACTGATGCGGCAGGTTCTTGGAAGCCGTTGCTCAGGACTCGTACTTCTTAGGAAATGGGTGTCACCAGTGCAAGGAGAGGCAAGCTCTGTGAGAGTGGAGATTTTTGCCTGTTTGCTGGTTCCTGCCAACTCTTAGAAAAGTAGAAGATACTTCTGCTTTTTCCATATTTGTGCTTTTATAGTGTACTTTTTTTGGGGGGCGGGGCACTTTCTGATTTTTAAAAACTAGTTCTGATTGAATCTAGCTGGCTTGAGATCTCATCTTTGTCGGGTACCTGGGCATCTTTAATTTGCTGGTTTCTGAAAAGCAGTTTATGTTACTCAAATTTATTGTGAGATTACCTTGTGAACAGCTGTAATGTTTACCACATGGTGATTTTTTTCAGATATTTTGTTGACTTGAACAGCTGTCGTCATATAGAATCAGGTGGCTGTTTCATGTCTCTCAGTCATGCTGTTGAGACCCCCTATTCTTTTGGCTGGTGTGTGACTTACACCAGCTCAGGCAGGAAAGGGCCTCAGGACGGTCTGCTGGTACAGTGTGTGCCTGGCACAGCCTCGGCACGGCCCTTGGCACGGGTTTTGGTTAAGTGAGGGTTGCTGTCTTACTGGTTTTAAGCTTTGTACTGTATCTCAACAAGGTGAGTTGGACCAAGGAGGAAAGAATAAGTACGAGAGCAAGACTTCCCAGTGCTGGTTCCGTGCGTACAGCTAAGTAAGGTGGAAGTCTAAGTGTTGTTAAAGTAAAAGAGAACGTGCCTCCTGCCATAAATCTAGTTGGGTCATGTCACTTAGAAGGGTCACTTGGTTAATACACTGGAGTGTCGTCTGTTTTACTGCTGTGATGAGCATGCGTCCTGGAGAATTTTGCCAATTACTTGTTATTACATGTCAATGAAATGATGTCATTCGTTCTGAGCAACTTCTGTGGCAAAGAACAGATTTTTTTTTAAGGTTTATTTATTTTTATTAGAAAGGCAGAATGGATTTAGAGAGAGAAAGACAGAGAGAAAGATCTTTCATCCACGTTTCACTCCCCAAATGGCCACAATGGCTGAAACTGAGCCAAGCCAATCCAAAGCTAGAAGCTTTGTGGTTACGGGATCCCAAGGCTTTGGGGACTTTTGCTGCTGCTTTCCCAGGCCACAAACGGGGAGCTGGAAGGGCAGCTGGATAGCTGGGACATAAACCAGCACCCCTATGGGATCTCAGCACATGCAAGATGAAAATTTAGCCACTGAGCCATTGCGCCAGGCCCAAATACTAGATTTTGACATTCACGTTGAAGACTAACCAGCCATGAGCATGAATGTTAGGGAACTAAGAGATTGTTATCTTTCCAAAAGAACAAACTTTGAAAGTTGAATAAGCCTTTGAGATAAGCTGCCTTAGTTTTCCTAAGTCATTAGTGAAAGTTGCAAAATTTCTAGACACATCAAAATACTAAATGAACAGATCCCCAACAGTAGTTCTAATTTAGTGTTATAGCGCATGATTACCAACTCAAGACTTAAGAAAAGGCTAAAAGAGGATTGTAGAATATTTTATAGCATTCTACAGCATCATTGTTACTATAGCAATGAATATATATTTTTAGAAATTTATTTGAGAAGTAGGGAGTGCGCGCCCATCCACGGCTTCACTCTGAATGCCTGCCAGGGCTGGGACTGCCCAGGTCATGAAAAGGGAACTGGGAATTCAGACCAGGTTTCCAACTCGAGCAGCCCTCGCTGCCTCGCAGGGCCCAGAGCTCAGCACGGAGCTGAGGGGCAGCAGTGTGGGATGTGGGCGGCCTAGCCTCAGGCAGGATTTAAGTCAACCCGTATCATGATCGCCTCTTCTCATCTCATAATCATACGTTCCTTATGTACAAAATTGTGGAATAACAAGCACTGCATGTGACGTGTCCTGTTAGTGATGTTATAGACATTTAGACATTGCAGGACTTCCCCAAATGAGTGTCATCCTCTTCAAAACATTCACCTTGAAAAGAAAGAAACCTTTTTTTTTTTTTTTTTGGAATTATCTTCAAAGCTTTTCAGCGCCGCTGACATTTTGAAGATGTTCTGTTGTAGCAGATGTTTATTCTGCATCAAGTTTAATGTCTGAAAAAGGCTGCCATCATTTGGAGCCAGTGGTGGGGGGCCTGTCACCCTGGGGTGAGAAGTGTACTTAGGGTCCTATTCCTTTACAACCCGCCAAACTGCTCTCCGGACCTGCCTGGCTGCTGCCCAGCCTCCCGAGCCTCTTCCTGCGACCTTGGAACTGGTTTGGAAGGATTCCTGCTTTCCTGTCCTTGTGCTTGGGTTTTGCTGTATTTCTCTCTTGATCTTCCTGGGCCCCCAAACCATCCTACCACCTGACCACTGACTGTACTCATTCTTTTGCTCTGCTGAAGCCCTTCCTGAACCAAGTTTAAGAGATTTGGTCTGTGGTATGTGTCTGCCTAGTATTCTAAAACACCCGTCACATACTTCATTGTGAACCCAAGTGGGACTGCTAGTGTCCCAAGAACTTTGGCCTTCCATTCTCTGTGCTGAGTGGGAGCCTCAGGTGATGCTTAGTGGATGAATACAGCATTACTAACGTCATCTCAGCCCACAGCAGTGGGTGGGACTTTGAAGGTAACAGGTGTTGTCTGTGGGGTTCCAGTGCGCTTCCATTTACTTGCTGTGGGACAGCTTGCTCTTGGAAAGCCACTTGCTACATCTAACACGAGGACCAAAATGATCATTTCTGAGGTGAAGATGAACTGAAGAATGTGTTATATAGTGCTAGCTGAATAGGTGGGACATACGGAGTCACGAGAGGAGGTTCTGTTGGCTGATGAGGCTGGCTGTGAAGCAGTGAGGGAAGCGAATGAGCGATGAATGTCTATTTCAGTAATTTCCATGGTGGGATTCCTCAGGGAGATTGTTTTGATGCTTCCTTTTATCTCTTTACCTTACTACTGTGAATGAAGTATATTTTATTCTGCCAGCTGCTTTCCCAGGCTGTTAGGGGCAAAGGACATCCTGCTGGGTCAGGACGGAGTGGCCACGGACATGAACTGGCATTCATTTGGGATGCCTGTGCCACATGTGGGCACCATATTAGAAAACATTGTAAATACTTAAATTACTGTCATGGGACACTTGGGCATTTAGCCTGAAAGAATTGTGAATCACAGGTTAGTCTGAATCAGTTAAAATTCTATAAACAAGAAATCTTTATGAATGAAGTTACTGAATAGAGTTTTCTTTGCACTTTGGTAAAATGCTGACTTAATTAGAATTCAAGTATTCCTGGGCTTGTTTTAGTTGGTTGAAAGTATCCAAATTATTATTATTTTTTTACACCAACTGCTTCTTGAATATAATAAAAAGCTAAATTATATTATATTGACCTCTTTGAAAAGAGAATTATTTATTAGCATAAACAGGTTCCAGAGATTGGGTTAATAATTGTTTTTGTCAAATCTGATTCTCAGCCGTCAGCCCTGATCCAAAGTAGAGGCTGAACGCTCACCTTGGGGAGTTAGAGCCTGATGGCAAAACTGCCCATTCACATTTTGAGTAACTGTTGTTTTCAGGGCTAGGTTAAAACACTGTTCTGGGTCCAGAGTCTGGTTTTATGGTCAGCTTGATGCTCTCTTAGTTTCAGATGCTCCTCCTCCGCCACCGCCCGCGGAAGAGCCTGTCTTCGACGAGTCCCCGCCCCCGCCCCCGCCCCCGGAGGATTACGAAGAGGAGGAGGCAGCGGTGGTGGAGTACAGCGACCCCTACGCCGAGGAGGACCCGCCCTGGGCGCCCAGGGCTTACCTGGAGAAGGGTGAGTGCCCAGGGCGTGCGGTGACACTGGCCGGACTGCAGAGTCCTGTGCGGTTGCACTGAGGAGTAACGTTTTATTTATCTGTATTATGTATTCATTTTCACTAATTCAGTTCTTGATTTTCAAAGCCTCACAAGTAAGTTTCTACACTTTATTAATTTTAAAATTATTACTTTTTAAGCTCCTGTTGAGCGTGCTGGTGATGAGTGGCTTTTGTTAGGTCGCAGGGGAATGGCTGTCCCCAGGTGTCAGCTACCCTGCCCGTGCTTGAGTAGCCTCATACCACTTATTTCAGTTGAACTATCTCTAACTTTTTTTCAAACAATGGTAGTGGAAGGCTTGTCTTCAGAGCGTAAGGCTTGTCTGAGTGTCTGAGTGTAACATAGTATAACAACTTGGGAATTTAACATCTCCGGACTGAAGAAGCCCAGGAGCAGGAGTGTGCGCCCCGGCAGGGCTGCCCGCGCTGCGGCTGAGGGACTGCCCAGCCGCCCGCCCTCCTCCCGGAGGCCTGCGGGCCTAAGGTCCTCTTCTGCCGAGACAGACAGGAGCATATCAGAGTCACTCTCTCAGAAAACAGGAATTTAGGAAAAGCTACACAAAGTAATCGTTCTGTGCTGTGACCCTCTTTGGGAGACGATCAGAAAATGTGTCTGCTCTGAGCTGTTCGAGTGGCAGGTGCTCCTGAGAGCCAAGGGGCACGGGGCCGTGAGAGAGGCCCGGAATGGATTTGACAAGACAAAGTGTGTGTGCCACATTCCTTTCTTTCTTTCTCTCTCTTTTGTTTTTTTAAAGATTTATTTATTTTTATTGGAAGGCAAATATACAGAGAGGAAGATATTCTGTCCAGTGATTCACTTCCCAAATGATTACAGTGGTGGGAGCTGAGCCAGTCCGAAGCCAGGAGCCTCTTCCGGGTCTCCCACACGGGTGCAGGGTCCCAAAGCTTTGGGCCGACCTCAACTGCTTTCCCAGGCCACAAGCAGGGAGCTGGATGGGAAGCAGGGCTGCCAGGATTAGAACTGGTGCCCATGTGGGATCCTGGTGCGTTCAAGGAGAGGACTTTAACCACTATACTATTGTGCCGGGCCCGCTACGTATTTCTACAGACCAAAATAAAGGCTCTCCGGGTCTGGCGCAATAGCATAAAGGTTAAGGTCCTAGCCTTGCACACGCCAAGATCCCATATGGGCGTCGGTTGTAATCCCGGCAGCTCCACTTCCTATCCAGCTCCCTGCTTGTGGCCTGGGAAAGCAGTTGAGGACGGCCCAATGTTTTGGGACCCTGCACCCACATGGGAGACCCAGAGGAGCTCCTGGTTTCAGATTGGCTCAGCTCCGGCCAGAGCACCCACTTGGGGAGTGAACCATCAGATGGAAGATCTCGCTCTCTCTCTCCTCCTCTCTGTATATCTGCCTTCCAATAAAAACAAGTAAATCTTAAAAAAAAAAAGGCTCTGAAGTGATGTGTAAGAAAGAGAGCTTTGTTTGGTGACGGCAGGCGCTAGCCGAGATGAGGAAAGAAACCAAAGCATAGAGCGGCAGGTGCAGGGGCCAGTTCAGTCTATGTATATAAAAGTCTATATGTTATATACATAATAATTATATATGTAGTATATATGCACATTTGCATATGTATGTATTGCATGTGTATATAATAATTGGATTTTCTGGAAGAGGTGGCAGGAAAGAATAAATGTTGGTCCACACGCTTCCACATGGATGACAGCTTTGTTGCTTGTCTATCTCTGTCTCACAAAAAATCTCCAAGGGCCTGGTGCAGTAGGCTAGCAGCTGAAGTCCTCACCTTGCACAAGCTGAGATCCCATATGGGAGCCGGTTCTCATCCTGGCAGCCCTGCTTCCCATCCAGCTCCCCGCTTGTGGCCTGGGAAAGCAGTTCGAGGACGGCCCAAAGCACTGGGATGTTGTACTCCTGTGGGAGACCCGGAAGAAGCTCCTGGCTCCTGGATTCTGATTGGTTCAGCTTTGGCTGTTGTGGCCACTTGGGGAGTGAATCAATGGAGTGAAGATCTTCTCTCTCTCCTCCTCTCTGTATATCTGACTTACCAATAAAAATAAATACAATAAAACATAATAAAAACCCTCCAAATCATAGTCCCGGCCGCTGTGGCGGTGGCCGTGCCCGGGTCTGCTGGCCCAGCAGTGCTGCCCTGGCCGTGCCCGTGTTGCTGTGGCGGTGCCCGGCTCATGCTCACCTCTGGCAGGGTTAGCTTCCAGGCTTCCTCACGGGGTTCCTGGCAGGATTAAGTTTCTCTTGGGTCCTGTGTTCATTACAGCAGGTGGGTGCCCAGCCCACACCTGAGGCGTGGAGGGTGCCCGAGGCTGGGTATTACAAGCTGTGTCTCGCCAGGAAGCTCTTTTCAAAGTTGTCTGTCACAAAAAGTGTAAACTTGTATATCTGAAGTTCAGTAAACCCAGCAAGAAAACAACATGCAAGAGCAAATCATGGTCAAATTGCAGAAAAGCAGAAGGAAAAGAAATCTTACAGATAATCAGAGTGAAGATGGCAGCTTGGCTACAGGGAGCAGAGGTAGCAATAGTTGCGTGGTTCTATCAGAAAAGGGTGCGGGAAAGCTCAGCCTGGAGCTGCCTCATCTGCTTGATGCAGTTGGGTCTGCAAAAGGCGTGAGAGTGAGTGGGAAACACAAGGCACACACAGGGACACTTCCCCCGTATGCAGTCTCTTTCAGGGATAGCTAATAAAGTAGCAATTGATCTTTTAGATCATAAAAATGATGATTTCTATACACAAATAATGAGAGGAAGTGGAATGACATGCAAATACAGACAGTTGATGCACTGTCTGTAAGGTGTCGTGGCCTTGGCTGGCAGGGGGCAGTTAGGCTTTGCGAGGTTCAGGAGGTAGAACGAACACGGCTGAGATGGCAGAGGCGGTAAGAGAGGGGAAAGCAAAGGTGGTGCCAGGCCGCCTCACGTGGGCAGAGCTCAGCCAGCAGAAGCGGGAGCTGCTGTCTTGGGGCCTGGAGGGCACAGTCAGGGCCAGGGGGAGGGCAGAGGGGAGCGGAGCTGGATGAGGGAAGGATCGTGCACTCCCAAAGTGGAAGGCTGTTTCTTTGGTGTTCCCCTCCAACTAATAGCATTAAGCAGCATTTTCAGAAAATTTCTTTTATTTTGAATTTTTGAATTTTATGGTACAATTTCAGAGTCTGGGATTTCCCCCTTCCCCGAGACCTCCCCCCCTCCCCCCTCCGACTTTCCCTGCGTTGTCACAATAGTACAGTCCCTCATAGTCTTGATTCCATCAGCCAAGTGGCATTGTTTTAATAGAATTTTTACCCTGAATAGATTCTAAAATGTCTCTTAGTTTAGGCTGTACTGTTTAGTTTAAAAACCCTTCATTGATAGCTTTAAGGTGAAGTTTGTTCTGCCTCAAGGCAACTTACATAATATAAGTGTCAAAACATTTGAGTCGTTGCTGACATAAACTTTCACTTTCCAGGGTAAAACTACTTGAGTTGTAATATGTGGCTTAATTAAGAGTTTATTGAAATGGATGATCCTACTAACATTTGACTTTTAGAGTTCAAAGTACCTACCTGCTCATTTTGGCTGCAGATGTCATGTGGTATTTGATGTATGTTTGAGCTCACACCACTTACGTGTAATATTGTGTTTTTTCCACATTGTTGTTACTTTACTATCATTTGGACTTTTAATCTAATTGTTACTGGTTACATTTACTGCAACCCAGTAGTTAAATACCCAGAGTAGAAACTGACTCAGAGGCACCTGCAGTGAGGGCCCTGTGTGTGGTGTTAGGGCAGAGAGTTTATGGTTTTGATCACTGTTCCTTGTTTCAACTTACAACAGAAAAGTGAGTTCTCTGATTGACTCAGACCACCATCGCATGGTGTCAGTGTTCTTTGATAATTCACAGAAAATTATAGGACCTAAAAGAAAAAAAAAAAAGAACCCTTCAAGTTCAGTTTTGCTACTTGAAACTCTCCATAGGATGCTGCTGAGCGCCTGTCATGCAGTGCTGGGTCAGGGTGTCCTGGCATTTGGGCGGGAGCCTCGAGAACACGCCCGACTCCTCCCGTGTAGAAACTGGAGGCTTTATGTTTTCCGTCAAATTTTTTTTTTCATCTACCATGTAAATTTCATGCACCTTTTATTTTCAGTGTGATATACATGGATAATTGAAAAGGAATTGTGAGACCGCTCACTACAGCCATACCTTTTTTGAGACTAAAATCTTAGAAGTTAGTTTTAGCTTTAGCATTAGTTTTTTGAATATTTTTGAAAAACAGGAAGATCCTCAGATTGACTGTATACCTCTTTGAATTTTGATGAAGCAAATCTCCACCTAAATCAAGTCTGTTTTCCTTCTGATGAATATCTAAATGAAATAAACAACTATTGTGTGTCTTTCACTGGAGTAAAAATGAATGTTCTCAAGCTTACTTTAAAAAAAGTCTCAAAATAGTGATCACTAATTCTGAGCAGGAAGTGCTTAGCCGTGATGGAAGAGCTCAGCTTGGTAGCACTCGGAGCTGGCTGGGCACCTGGGTGGGCTCTGCAGGCCTCCCCGTCTGTGCCTTCTGGAGAAGGTGGTGTGCAGCGAGCCTGGACTCGTCACTCCTGCGCTGTGGCCGCAGCCGGCTTTCATTCTCTTCTGAATGGCTTGGGGGGGGGGGGGGGGCTTGCATTTGTGTAAGCATCAGCGAAAGTGTCGTTTTTGTTTTTCAAGTGCTAAGGAACACTGAGTTGACCAGAAATGCTAATATTGTTAACTTGTGTTCTTTCACATTTATGGTTAAACTTGTATTCATTTAATCGTACTTGATAGTGTTTGTGTGGTTACATTCAGAAAAATACACACTGAATTCTTCCTAGCTGGAGCCCATTGAGTTTTGCCAGTGCCCTTATTAACTGTCATGTTAAGGAGGTCATTGAATTTTTAGTGGAGCAGGCTGCATGTCACCAGGGCCTCAGGTGTGCTTCCTGTCTCCCGGGGAGAAGGCTCAGGCTCCTGAGAAGCCAGCACGCCAACTAGCCTTGCTTTTGGGACTTGGCTAGACGGCAGTTTCTGTGAGTTGTCAGTGAGAGCACAGATCCCAGGGACACAGGCTAGAACCGGCTAGAACCGGCTAGAACCCTTGCAGTGGATCTGAGCAAGCTGTGAGGCGGCATAATTCAAACTATTGAAGTCAACTATAATTAATATTTAGGTGCTGTAGACCTTTGGAGATGGGGTTGCAGGGCCCGTTACTGAGTGATATAAGCTGTGAAAATCACATGAGAGCTTATAGGTGTCTTGGTTAGCACTGAGACTGCACTATAAAGCAGTGCCGTAACGGCGTGTTCTGAAGGAACGTGTGTGAGTGACTCATGTCCCCGAGCGCTGGGGCATGCGTCTCCCTTCTGCCCCGTGATGTGGCCGAGGCCCCCAGCAGGTCAGAGCCTCACAGCTCATCTTGGCATTGCGAGGTGTATGTATTTTTGTTTTACACAACATGATGCCACAGGACAAGCTAAAACGAAGAACTAACCACTTTTCATGACTCTGAAATTTGTTTTCTTTTTTAGATTCATTTATTTTTATTACAAAAATATACAGAGAGGAGGAGAGACAGAGAGGAAGATCTTCTGTCCGATGATTCACTCCCGAAGTGAGTGCTGGGAACCAGGAACCACTTCCAGGTCTCCCACATGGGTGCAGGGTCCCAAGGCTTTGGGCTGTCCTCGACTCCTTTCCTAGGTGACAAGCAGGGAGCTGGATGGGAAGTGGAGCTGCCGGGATTAGAACCGGCGTCCATATGGGATCCCCGGGTATTCAAGGTGAGGACTTTAGCCAGTAGGCCATGGCGCTGGGCCCTGAAATGTTTTCAATGAGATGCTTTCCCATTGGCTGTTGAAAGGTAAGTTTGACCAACTTTGCCTGCTTTAGAATCTTTACCCTCTTTAGAATTTTCTGTAGAAAATGGGATTCCATGATGTCAGACTGGCCATGTTAGAAAAAAACCATGTTTATAAAGTTTGGTCTGTGTTTTGAAAGTCACCGTGTTAACTGCAGATGTTGGGAAAGAAAGGTTATATGCATATTTTGTTTTGTCTCCAAATAGTTCTTTTAATACTCTGTTTCCTCTCCTAGTTGTGGCAATTTATGATTACACAAAGGACAAGGAGGATGAGCTGTCCTTCCAGGAAGGAGCCATTATTTATGTCATCAAGAAGAATGACGACGGTTGGTATGAGGGTGTCATGAACGGAGTGACTGGGCTCTTCCCTGGGAATTACGTGGAGTCCATCATGCATTACTCGGAGTGAGGCTCGGCAGGCTGTGCTTCCCTCCCAGCGCAGTCACAGGCCCTGGGACTCCCTTCCAGTGGGATGGAGTGAAGTCTACAGACAATACAAACTTTTTTGTTGGTTTGTTTATCCCCCAGTATTGGAAGCAAAAAAGAAAGCCAAATCTGAAAATGGGTCTCCTCACGGTGGTTTGTACTGTGTTGAGGTATCTGGAGTGACACAAAGTGACCATTTCTGAACATGTCAAAGGTGTAGCCACCTGCCCATGTAGCTACATGTCTGCCTAAGATGGATTCAGAAACTGGGATGCTTCCTCAGGAACACTGAGCCCCCTTGGTCTGTGGTGTTGGCTGCTCCTCAGTGCCTGGGCTGCGGGCTCAGCCTCACTCCCAGTGGGCATGCCCGGTGCTTGCTTTGTTCCACCTATGTGAAGAGGAGGAAACTAGCGTTCGGATACCATGCGTTCCCGTTGAGACCTTGTTTTGGATAACTCCTTTCCTCGTTGGCACTGTAAATTCTGCATTTGTAGCACGTGCTGTGCACCTGCAAGTTCCTGTTGGTTTCAACATCCTTTCATGTTTCTCAATTCGTAGATTTTAGAGGTGATGCAATGGGAGTCTCCTCATGGTGAAGGTGGTTCATAGGGGCACTGCTGCTGTGGCCAGCAGGGAACAGGCTGAGTGGGCTCTGTGCAGTTGTCAGCCAGGACGTCCTCAAGAGCGTGCCCGAGGTGGTTCTGAGCAGGAACCCTTGCCTGAGGTGCTCTTCAGGGGAATCAGCTGAGAGGGTCCCCCGTGAGCACTGGACCTTCTCATCACCATCTAGAAGAGCATTGTAGTGGTCATCTCCCAGCCTTTTGGTGACCCCCGGGACTCACAGCAGTGCCAGCCATGGCTCCGCCAGGAGCCACAGGACATGTAGAGCCTCTCCTGTGATTGTACTCTGGGGGGGGCCCGGGCCCACCTGAACCCTGCATCCAGACTCAGAATATGGTAGTTGGATATCACAGAGGCCCCAGCACTTCTCTAGTCTGTTACCAATCAGTAGGACTTGGAATGGTAGTAAAGCAATGTTCTAACCCATCTGTTGCACAGTGAGAGCTCCAGGGTCAGTGGAGGCTGTAGGCAGCTTTATTCACACCTGTCACCGCTGTAGGAAATGCTGCAATATCCCTGGGAGAGCTGGCTGCCCCAGAGCGAGCAGTGGCACTGGCTCACCCTGGCCCGTCTGCCTGCGTGGCTGCCTCGGGGAGCGTTGAGCCCTGAGGATCTCAAGTGTAGGCCTTGCGCATAAAGGGTAGTTCAGGCAGGAGGAACTCAATAGCAGAATGATCTGGCATGAGTTAATATTCTAATTGTAAAACTTCATATCTGAGTGTGACATTTCATCATTGTGTAATGGCCCCAGATACGGAAATTCCTATCAAGACTTCATTTTTAAACTTGTATCTTAAAAGGTTGTAACTTGGCTTAACTGTTCTGCTTTTAGGTTTCCCCAGACTTGATTCTAGCTTTACCTCCTTGCCTCCAGGCCACATCCCACTGTTTTTCTTAAATCATTTTGACATCCCTTAGTGTCTCCCTTTACAGTCCTTCATGTCCTCTGAGCTTTGAGCTCCATCCCAGTCCCGGACTAGACTGTATTTGGATATTAGATTCTTAGCACTGGTAATAACTAGAGAAATGATTTTGGACTTGTTCCATCTATGAGTTGTTTTTTTTTCTGTTTTCTGAGAGCATTCATTGGGTTAATGAGGCAGAGGATGTTTTGAAATCCAAAAAGGTTTCCCCAGCTCCTCCCCAGAAGACACATCCGTGCAGACAGGAGCTGGGCTGCTCGGCAGGAAGGCAGCCTCCCTGCGGGCCCTCGCTGGATGGGACCGTGCCGGACACTTGGCGCTGGCCCTGGCAGGTGGCCAGGACCTGACTGAGTTTTCAGTATTATTTGGTACTATTATGTGTGTTAAGTGACTCCCATTTTTCAAATGATCATAGATGGGTTTTCTGCATACCTTTTTTGGGGAGGGGGTGTTACAATTTTGAACTCTACAGATTGTTTCAGAAGGATACTATGTGATGATCATGGGCCAGGCCTGCATTGGAGACTTAGTGTACGTAATATTTCATAGATTGCATGCTATTAATAGTCCGAGGGTAGTATTTCCTGTTGTGTTTTCCCCTTTATCCTCTTGTACACTAAAAGATGGTGGGTATTAGGAATTCCAAATTAATCCGGAAAGTTTGACATGCTGTTAAGATCACAGCAAAGCTGATAACAGGTTTCAAATGTGCCAATTGGCAAAGATGGAATCTGATGGGATGGGAGAAGATTCTTCCCCTTGCAGTTGTGTTCACTCCCATTTGTTAAAACATTTAAAACAAGTGACTGAATAGTCCCGCCCCACCTGCCCCTCTGGTGGTAATATTCCAAGGCCCATGAAGATAGGAGAATGTGCTGTTTTGTCACCTTTGACCTTATGGCCATGGCAGTAAATTGGAAACAGTGCCAGTGTGTCTGAATCTAGACCTCAGGAATCCAGACGAGTGTGTGCAGAATAAATACAGACCTCCAAGATGGCTTGTTCGGTATTTTCTGTTTCTTGGCCTATTTGTCTTCCTCAGACAGGTGCTGTTCTCGTCTCGTGTTGGGCAAGAAGTTAACTTTGTGTGTCCCTGAAGGTTGCTGGGGAGCAGACGTCCTTGTCTTCCTTGGCTCTTGTACTTCCCCGTGGTGTCTGTATGGTGGCTGGTGGCTGGGCTCACAGCTGTGCTTTCTATGGAGTAAATTAAGATTTTTTTCTGGTTGGGAGGCGTCAAAGTGGAGATTGCTTTTCATTTTATTTTAGCAGGTGACCTCTCTGCATTAAGAACAATCCTTTTTCCTCTTACCATCTCTTCCATGGGCCTATTTTCACACCTGACGTTTGAAAGGGTTTGATGGAATGGGCAGGTGACTGCTCAGTCTTTGGAAGGAGTGGGCACCTGTTCACTTACGCACTTCATTGGCCAGGAGCTCTCGAGTGGTGTGCACGTGATCACTCAGCCCCACCCCCTCGAATCTTTCCGAGCTAGATGAGATTTTAGCATTCTTGGTTGTCTGGTTTGATACTTTGTTTGAGGAACTGCAGACAGTAACAGCGCGCCTGGTCAGAACCCAGTATTCTTCCCTGCACCACAACTGTCTTAAGTAAACGTGCACTTAAGTTTTCCTTAAAATAATTCTTTGTTTCTAGGAAAATACTTGAAAAAATATGCCATGTTTGATAAATGCCCTTCAACTATTCAGACTATTTAAAGGACTGTATTAAGTGCAACTTAGTGAAAATTATCATTTACTCCTTCCAAAACTACTAAAACTTTTGCATAAGGTCTGTATAGCAAAACTATCCCATAAGTTGAGCTGGAGTGCAGCGAGCAGCCTTCTTCGAGAGCCTTACTGAAGTTATTACATGCAGGCATGGAGCCCATTAATCTTTTAAGTTGGCTTTATGCTGATCTTTGTTCCTATTGAGTATCATAATTCTAAAATTATGAAACTACAGGGCCTAACCATGAATAAGTGATCCTTGCTAAATAATGTTTTTGTAAAAAGAAAACAAAAAGCTTATTTTCACATTAAACTGAAACCTCTTTTGCAACTTCAGAATTCTACAGAAAAGCAGTTTTTAATCATATTTCTGTCCATATACTTTTTTTTTTTTTTTTAAAGAAAATGGTTTACAAAAAGAATGTCAGTTGTGACCGGGCCGGTTGTGCTTTGTAGCTCCCAGGAGAGCTGACGTGTCCGAGTCATTCAGGAGACCGGAGGGAGCCGTCGCCAGTCATGTTTCTCTGTGCCATTGAGCCACCTCCAGATGAGTGGGGCAACATTCACTTTTTAATTTTTTAATTGTATTTGGGATTGATTATTGCTGTGTACTAAAATGACCTAAATAAAAATCCCAGAAAGTATATTTAGATGTCTAATGAAATTATTCACATAAATCATCCTTCCATCCCCCACCTCCTCTATACTTCTTACCTTTTGGAGTTCAGGTAACCAGAATCTTGTGGTGTATGTGAACAATGCCATTCAGGTTTTACAGGAAGGCTGAAAGGGATTTTTCTCCAGCTTGAGAACACAAAAGTTTAGGCATAAGAACAGCCTGGGTTCAGAGACGTTTACCATCTAGCCTTCTGTTGGCCTTTGCTTTGGCCCCCTTTGGTTACTTTGGAGTTTACACCTCCAGAGGAAATGTCCTATGGGTTTCTGGCGGGGTGAAGGTAAGAGCTCCGATTCCATGCTTTTGTCAGCCTGTGTTCACAGCACAGACCCTTCCTCTGGCTTTCACAACCAGAAAGGACTGGCAGATGTGGGGGAGGTAGAGTGGTTTCCATGGACGGAAATGGAGTACGCAAGTACACATACCATGACACTGGCAACTCAATACATGTTTGACCCCAGAACACTGAACAAAGATCCCTTTTTTCTGCTACTTTTTACTAGTTGTACTTTATTTGAAGAAAAAAACTCCTTCTGAATCACTAATAAATATATTTAGTAGCCTAAGCTCCCCAGTTTGTTGGCATTAACTAAACTATCCTTCAAAGGTAACAAGTAGAACACATCAAACTAGTTTATTCATCTTTACACTTGATTTGTTCTTATTGTACAGTTTATACTTAGGTACCCGAACATGAAAAACAAAATTATAAATGGTGCCAATCCACACACACCCTCCTCAAAGTCCCCGCGTGTGAATGAATTCTATTGTTTGGTGTTTATTATTACTGTTAAGGAATAGACAAGCTGACATACTGCAGACATGTAACTGAAAAACAAACTTACGCTGACTGTACGACCACTGTCCCAACATTACAATAGTTTACTGATGGGAACTGGCAAGAGTCACTTGAAAAATAACTTCATTCAGCAGAACAAAAACATGGTCAGTAGTACTGGATTTCTCATATATTTCTCTCTATATATATATTGGTATCTATTAGCTTTGCACAATCAGGGAGCAAGGCACATAATGAAATGAGAGCATACATCTATGCGGAGGAAAACAGCAATGTAGCTGAGACAAGTGTTAGCTGCTTCACCGAGCTGTGCATGAGCCTTTGAGCAATGTCCTCTGTGACAGTCCCAGTTACCTTTCTCATGCTTTAGGAACGTCCTTCTACACTGTGTTTATGGCAAAGCTACCACATCCAGGAAGTCAGGGTGAGCCTGGACACTCTTTAAAAAGAAAAAAAATCAAAGACAAAACAATTAGGGCAGAAATGGAGGCAGGAGCAACCCCAGTTAATGTGCAATTTTCCTTTAAAAACAGTAAACAGGGTTTTTACAATGCTTAGCACAAGCTAATGATCTTTACCTTAAATAAGTAAAATCATTTGAAACATTCCAGTCGATGCTTATTTTCTAGGATTATTTACAAGAAAAAAATTCAGGAGCTGGGTAGTAATGATAAATGGCAATTTTTGGTATTAGGTTACAACAAACAACAGAGGACAGTTTCCAAAAGGTAGGTTTTGTTTCATTTCATTTTCCCCTTAAGTGCTGCAAACATGCTTGTCCAAAGCCTAGGAAGACTTCACTAATCCAGAGCCTGGCGTTGGAAGCCACCACTGTCACAGCCACTTCTCAGCTGGGACTGCGCAGTGCCCCCAGTCACCGGGACCGAGTGGCTCCTCAGCGTCTTTGGTTAAAAGCAGCCAGCCCACCGCCTCCATTTCCTAGCGAGAATACTCTTTCTTTGCCTCCATTAGCACCTCAAAGTGTGTGTGTGTGCGTGTGCATGTTTAATGCTGTTCCTCTGAGAGTTCAAGGCACTGGGGATTACAGCAAAGGGTTTCTGCTGAAAACTAACAAAATTAAGCCAGTTAGAATCCTCTCCCCTTCAAATATTAAGTACGTTTTGCTTATTTAGAAACATTCTACAGCTGGACTACAGATTTCTTTTATAGACAAGGACAGGCAAGAACTAAGCACCTTTTTTTTGAGAGTCAGACTTAAGCAAGGTGCTGAAATGTTCTCACTAGCTCTTAAGTTCATCTTAAGTCTGTGCCATGTTGAATGTTCTGCTTGAGCGTGTTTGGCTCAGCCCCAGCTTTGTGGGAGGTCACACATTGCACAGGATGGGGATACCCTGCTTTGTTTATGCAGCTGATGTAAAGGATACGAAACAGAGTGCCAAAAGTTACCTGCAGGCTGAGGGAGCTGCTGTGGTAGAGAAACAGTCATCTTCTCCTTAAGTGTTGAGCCCGTGTGATCGCCCATCACCACACAGTCATACAGGGTCACTGGGTCAGCCTAACCTTGGATAAAGTCTGAGGGCAGCCGTTATGTATGTTAGCTCTGAGGGTATCTGCCAAAATTTGATCTTCTAAAATAGCAGTGTTTTTTTTTCTTCACTTAGGAAGAACTACCTTGTATTTGTAACATCAAACTGCTTTTAGTTGAGGAACAGGTGACAAGAGGAGACCACCCTACACCGTCTCAAACACTGCGCAGGCTAATTTAGCACCTGCCTGCTGGGCCAGCGCAGCAGCGTCTGAAACTTCACCTGGACACACACGCAGTTCCTCCCATCTTCCTCTTCATAGCTGTCACTCTACTGAAACTACTGTAACCCCCAATTTTGCTTCTAGTGACAAGCCCACAGCAGGTGGCCCACGATGACCGTGGACAAGCACAGCACCTTGATGTAGCGGAGAGCACAGCAGCCTCGGTTCTGCATGCCTTAGCTGACATCCGAGGACAGTCCAGTGTAACTTCTCTTGGTTGGGCATCTTCCTCGTTTTACACGTTTCCAGGAATTGTTAAAAACATTATTGATAGTTGTGTAGATAAGTGTATGAACTTTAAGAACACTGAGAATTATAGCCGCTAAGGAAAAGTGTTGAAATTTGAGTAGCAAAAGCCAGGCCAGTACTACAGTGAATTGTGAAGTCTGTTACCACTGAGAACCTGAAGAAAGCTGTTCTGTTAACCCAGAGCAGGTTCAGAATTGGTACCAAAACTTAAGCACAGAGTGGTCCAATTTCTGAATTATATAATAAAAATCAGAAGTGTCACTAAGCAGATTGTTAGTGCTAGTGGGCATCTGCTGGTACTGCTCTCAGCAGCAGGACAAGCTGGTCCGCACCATTCCCCAGCCGAGCTGGCTGGCCTGCTCTGCTGTTGGGGCCTGCGGCAGCCGGGCAGAGCTGCAGCAACACAGGGCACGGTGCTGGCGACTTCTGCCAGTAGGTTTTCCAGAGTAGAAAAGCTACAGAAATTCAGATAATTTTGACTACATCCCAGGTGGCAAGGTATGGCAGGTTGGCATTGCATATCTGAGGGCTGTTCTGGATCCCGGCTGCTCTGCTGCTGCTCCAGCTCCCTGCTAGTGCACCTGACGAGGCAAGAAATGATGGCTCAAGTGGGCCACCTACACGGACTTCCCGGCCCTCACTTCAACCTGGCACAGCCCTGGCACTTGGGGAGTGAACCAGCAACTGGAAGATCTTTGTCTCTGCTTTTCAAACAATCTTTGTTTTTAAAAATTATTTTTTATTGGAAAGTCAGATATATAGAGAGGAGAGACAGAGATCTTCCAATCAGTTGAGTTCACTCCCCAAGTGGTCTCAATGGCTAAAGCTGCGCTGATCTCAAGCCAGGAGCTGCTTCCAGGTCTCCAACGTGGCTGCGGGATCCCAAGGCTTTGGGCTGTCCTCAACTGCTTTCCCAGGCCACAAGCATGGAGGTAAATGGGAAGCAGGCCACCAGGATTAGAACCAGTGACCAAATGGGATCCTGGCATGTCAAGCAAGGACTTTAGCCACTAGGCTACTGCACTGTGCCCAAAAAGATCTTAAAACACATACACACTCCAGCAGCCACCCAAATTACAAACCACTAGGAAGTTATACATCCGAGGCATAATCTAAGATCTCATTTAACAGCTCTTTCCCTCTCTGCTGAAATGTAAAGGTATAGTCCACTCCCAGACAAGGCCCTGAGACTCCAAGTAAGTGTTTCTGGCCCTGTTGTCCTTTTGGGCATCACTAATGCTCACAGCAAGCCAGCTCTTCCCAGGAAAACGTACCAGAGGCATCCGTTCAGGTGAACTGGCATAAGCAAGAACTTCCACTGTACCAGGAATTCAGATCGCGAGTGAAAGGTGGGGGGCACATGAGTGTTCTCCCCTCAAGGAAAGCTGAGGCTGTCTACATGTGAAGAAAAAGCCCCACACCAAACTGGTAAGCCCAGATCCCTAGAATAGAGCTGGATATCTAACAGGATTCATGGGGTCATTCACTCCTACCTCGCAGACACGGGCGACCCCCCCGAACCCGGAGCTGCAGGCAGGCTTGGAGCTCGGCAGTCTGCTCGAGGTTACTCGTGCGGCTGTGCGTGTGCAAGCAGGCAAGGCAGGCGTGCTCAACGTGACCTCCTGAGGGCATCCGCACAGTGCATGACAGTCGGCCTAATCTGAGAGCTTGAGCGAACAGACCCGAAGCAGCAGAGCTTTCAGCCGCCGCCCAGTGGCATCTCCTGCTCTTCACATCTTGCCCAGCAGTTGAGGTGCCACGCGCTCCCTGTGGTGGGCTTCCTTGGGCAAGAGTGCCAGGGACTGGCACAACCTGCAACTACTCCCACCTGCCAGCTCGGCCCCTGCCTCACCAGCATCCCTTTTCCAAAGAGCAATCCTTCACACAGGCACAGGTGTTAGCACCAGCTGTGCCTGTCCCTAGTTGGTGGAGCGGCCAGTTTTTGGGCTCCTGTTTGAGTGGTTCCAAGATAGCATTTTATTCCTGTTGGTTTATTATAAGCTGACAAGACTGCACATTTCGTTCATGTACCAAGGAAAATTTATAGGAAGAAAAAAAGCATATGAATATGGCATGAAGCAGAGTATCACTGGTGCCCTGGAGCCCTTGCCTGCCCGCCTGTACCATCACCGCCTGCCCCCAGACAAGCGGGCATTGTTGTGTCACAGCATCAGTAACTTGGACAAGCTGCTGACCAGCCTGCAGCCAGCAGAGGGCCTGGTAGCCTTGCAGCTACAGACCTATGGCTGCAGCTGTTACAAACGCCTGTTCTTTAAACCCTGCCAGTCCAATAATGAATCACTTTGTATTACATATTCTACCCCATACCTATCTGATTAGCAGTCCTTGCACAGAGCCTTCTTTGTGCTTACCTGCTTTTGGAGAGCAACACGGGAACAGCACAGGGATTTCAGAGGTGACTGTTCTTCCTAATGCTGGGTCACAGATGTCTAACTCCTACACCCCCTGGCTACAGATTCCTACCAGCTGCAAGGCCTAGCTAAGGGGCACACTGTTAGGACTGCAGCCGAGTGAGCCACAGCCTAGGAGGGTTACTGTGCATCAAGACGGGGACCATGGCCCGGACCCCACGAGGGAACTGCTGAAGGGGGCACCCCGAACCAGGGATGCAGGCAGCCTCGGCCCGAGGATCACTTCTAAGCGCAACCACCCACACGGGGCTCCCGCACCCTGTACCCGTTCTGTGAAGCTGAGAAGTCTTCCTGAATAAAGTGCCCTTCTATGTACACTGATGAAGTGTCAAGTAGTTCTAACTTCAGGCAGTGTTGGGGGAAAAATACAAAAGCCCTGTAGGTACACCAGACTGTGGCTTCTCAGAACATGTACCCCGACTTACAGAACACAGCCATGCACGGGAGGCTGCACGGACAGACAATGGACAGCAGAAGTAGTTTTTGGTCCAATCCTTATGACAGATCAATGAAATCATCTAGGACAGAACACACACCCCCCTTTCCATGCCTCTTCAAACTAAAATACACAGAACTCACTTCTCAAACTAGGAGAGAAAAGAAATAAATAGAATCTCTCTCTGTGCACGCTCTATATACACATATATGTATACATACATACATACACAGACTAGTGTGTGTGTGTGTGTACACACGAACGGCTGGACACTACCTGAATAACACCACAGCAGGAGCCTGTCAACAGCGAAGTCCCGGGCGCTCAGGTGAGCTCACGGTAGCACTGATGCCAGACGCCCCGGGATGGGGTCTCCCGGCTACCAGTCTCTGGAGAGCTTGGTGTTCTGGTCTCTCTTGGGCGGGGCGGGGGGCGGCCCTCTCCGCAGTGTCGCGTAGCCCGATATGTGACTGCCCCCGCAGCCCGCCTTCTGTTGCTCGCTCAGCAGCTCGGGGGGCGGCGGGGGCAGCGCCATGTCATCCATGGTGGCTGTGGGTTCTGCTCTGGCCACGCGCGAGGACGACAGCGAGCCGTGCCGGGTGATGGACTTCCGCTGCAGTGTCCTGTTGAGGTCCGCCAGGAAGCCAGGCTGCACGCTAAGGCTGGACTTGGGCGACGTGGGCACTTGGGGCGCAGCTGCGGGCGCCAGCGGGGGCGGCTCCGCGGCCTCGGCCTGGGTGAGGCGGGTGCTGTCGTTGCGTTTGGGCCGCGTGGGCGGAGGGGCCTTCTTGACCGAGGACTTGGACCACGGCTGTGGCTGGGGGTTGACCACGGCCACTTTGGGGGAGGTGCTCCCCGCGAATACGGCCGGGATCTCTATCGGGGGCGGAGGCAGCTCGATTTCGGGGGGTGGCGGGGGGAAGTCGGAGTCGGAGGGAGGAGAAGGAAACTCCACCACGGGGTCCTTGCTGCGCCCACCCGCGGCCGAGGCTCTGGCGGGCGCGCCAGGGTGCAGAGCGCCGGGGAGGTGAACCCCGGCAAGCTGCAGTTTGCCTGGCTTTGGGGGCGCTGCTGGAGGCACCCCGGACTCCTTGCCGGGAGGGCCCGGCTCCGCGGCCGAGGCGAACTTGCTGACCAGGCTGTCCACGGAGGGCCGCTTGGGCTCGGCCTGCTCTCCGACAGCGCCGGACTTAATGCTGGAGTTGCGCTGGGGGGTCGGGGGCGGCTTCTTCCCACCGGGGCTGGAGGTCTTGCCGGGCTTTTTGCCCGGAGATCCGCTTTTGTCGGGGGCGGGAGAAGCAGCGGGCGGCGGCGGCGGCGTCGGCGGGGGAGGCGGCGGGAACACCAGGCTGCTCTCGGGGGGCGGCGGCGGGAAATCCGGAGAAGGGGCCGGGGCGCTGGGCTGCCACTTGGGCTTTGCTTTCACAGCAGGAGGGGACTGCGGCCCCGCGGAGGGGGCCTTTCCGGGTTGCGGGTCCGGGGGCGGCGGCGGTGGCGGCGGGGGGAACTGGCTGGCCAGCTGCCTGACCAGCGAGGGCGCGGGCGACAGCGGGGAGGGAGGGGGCTTCCCGCCGAAGCTCTGCTGCTTGGGCAACGTGGGCGGGGGGCCTGGGGCCGGAGGGGTGGGTGGGCAGGGCGGGTGGGGGGCGGAGAAAGGCGGCTGCTTTTTAGCTGGGGGCACCGGGGGCGTCGGGGTAGGTGTTGGGGGCGCGGCTTGCGTGGCAGGGGGTGGCACGGTCTTGGTGCTGTGTGGAGGGATGGTCACCAGGGGCTTGGGGGGCGCTTGAGGAGGGAGGGGCGCTGGCATGACAGGAGCCGGGGGAGGCGTTGGAGGGGCTGCCTGAGCAACGTGTTGGACCTGATGGATCTTGAGTGGAGGAGGTGGGGGGCTGAACTGTGGCAGGGACGGGGCACAGGGGGCCGGCTTGAGCTGGGCCATAGCTGAGCCGGGGGTTGGAGGTGGTGGTGGGGGAGGCGGAGGGGGCACAACTCCACTGGGAGGCACCAGGATCTGGGGCTTGGCTGACTGGGAGGCCAGGGTTTGCACAGGCTGCATGGCGGGTGGGGGTGGGGGCTTAAATAGGGGCCCTGAATGTTGAGAGGCGTTCTGCAGCCTCGTGATGGTGCTGTACTTGACAAACATCGTGGCGGCAGAGGCAGAGGATGAGGCTGACTGGCTGGGGAGTGGGGGAGGGGGCGGGGGAGGAGGAGGGGGAGGAGGAGGAGGCGGGGGTGGGGGAGGAGGCAGAGGGGGGGAAGGCTGAGAAGCAGTGTAGGGGGTCACCATCTTGGGTTGTGGGGATAAAGGGGGCATAAGTGAAGGGTAGGGCCGATTCGCAGACTCGGTTCTGGCCTACAGGGTGGGGTGGGGAGGGGTTAGGGAGAGAAACAAACACACAACAGTTACCAAGGTAAGCCTTGACTGAAGGCAAAGTAAGGTTCTGAGACATGCAGGACCCGACGTGAGGGTGGAGATCAAAGGGACAGTGTCTGAGGGCTGAAACCTGAGACCTTAGGCACGCGGGGACATTCTGCTGCATCCGCAAGCCTCCTAGGAAAGTGAGCCTGCCTCACCCTCCAGGACAACGTCCTGCTCTACGAGCTCACGGGATGCGGCCCTTGGGCATCCTGGGCCCCTGCTGCCCTCCGGCTAGCGGAGATGTGACCGCTCCAGTCCACCTTCCAGTCAGGTCGTGAGTGGTCAGGGTCGGGCAGACCAAGGCGCTGGGTTAGGAGGAGGCAGGGAGAGGCCTCACTAACAGCAAGGATGGTATGCAGAGGCACACAGGAACAAATGAGGTCCCTGTCTACCCATGGTGCACTGCCACTCACATCAACGTGCATGGACAACTGGCAGTGCAAGGACAGGTGGCGGTGGGGGAGGGCTAGTTTCCATTTGTTTTACTGGAAAACACATAAAGGAATGCTTTGTCAACACTATAGCAATGGATCATAAAATACAGAAAAAGCCAAAGATGAGAGGAAATTAGAGCATGAGAGATCTGGCAGACAGCACAGCTGCTCATCGACCCCAGGAGCCCGGGCACTGCCAAAATGACGGTGGTGATGAGGTTCATGCACAACTGTAGTCCAAGGACCTTCAAAGAACGGAAAGGGAGGGCCGGTTCTTTCAAGATTTCTGAACAAACTTCAAGGAACCCAAAGAAACCATTTGTTTCAAAAGAGAATGGCATCTGATTAGCAAGGAAAACGCTTAGGTTAGTAAAGTAGGAGGTTCAGGATGGGGCTAGGCCCTGATGCCCACCAGGACACTCACATTTCCTTAAAGAGACACATCAAGGTAAAAGCATTAGTCTGTAAGATCCGGTTATGGGAGTCACCCAGGTTAATGTGTTTCCAGAAGAGCCCCTGACCTTAACTTGACCCTGTCTTGGCTGCTTCGGGGGTGCGGACCTTAGCTGTGCTGGCCTTCTCACTTGACACCTGAGCCTGAGGTAACGGGAGAAACAGAGGAGTCAGGACACAACCACACATCAGCGCTGCACCCGGCGGGCCGCACATCCCAACTCGGCGCCGCTGGGTGGCACCCCTGCGCGCGGAGGGCCCTGTGTGCATCGGCCTTGCCAGTAACAGGTGTGCAGCTCCATGTTTTAAAGCGCACAAATCTCACCCACAAATACTTTGCTAATCCAGAGATTTTCTTTAGGCAAAACAATTAATAAACCAGCTTCTCCAAATATGTCCTTAAAATATTGGCTCCATCCCACTTGATTCCATGGGAGGAGAGGGAGACAGCTAGCTGTTTGAAGTCCTGAGTATCAGGCAATGAAATGCCAGCCCTGTGAGAACTGAGGTCATCAGAAGCAATTCTCAGATACTCGCTTCTGAATGAACTGCAACTGACGGCTCTCCAGCCTCTGCAGGCCCAGGCCAGTCAACCTCTGCGGAATGAAAGAACACATTTATTTAATAAAGAAGTTTAAGTGTCCATTCCATTCTCATGTTAATATATCTGTATAAGTGACTTGGACTTGGACCAATCAAAACGATTAGTGAGGGGGAAATCACCCTATCAGGCCAGGGGCGCTCTTGCATAATGCAATGGCGACTGTGGCCGGGACAGAGCCGGGCCCACACAGCTACAGGCTTCGACAGCGTTTCTCAAGAAACATATTAAAGCTAAGCTTATTTTGTTGCAAAAAAAGAAAAAAAAAAAAAAGGAAAGAAATCTATACATAGAAGGGGTCTTTCAATGTTTTAAGAGAAAATTGAATATTATGAAAAAATATAATTTCAAAATTTTTTGCAACAAAATAAACTGCCTTTTAATTCTGTTTTGCATGAACCTGAAGCCTCGTTGCATTGACTGCCATTTCCCACTGAGCCTCAGGAAGCTGTGGAGTTGTCAAACAGCAATACAGTCCTAGAGTAATCACATTCATCCTTCAACGCCACTGAAGTTCAGGATTCCAACATACTAAGTGTTCTGACTTGAATTTAGCTTTTTCCATACGGCATACTGAAAACCCATCAAAAGGGATGCAACAGCACAAAAAGCTAAAAGGAAGAATGCATCTGAATAAATTAAAGTAATTATGAATAAAAATGTAAGCAGCTTCTCTAGTGTGTATTTAGGTCACAGGCACTACCCATCTAAATAAGGGAGTTCAGCTTGCTAGAGAGCTCAGGGCATTTGGGTCTGTGGGCAATGTCCACTTCCAAGGGGAAGTCAGCTCAGCAGGCCTCTCACACATTTCACTGAGAAAACTTAAGATCAAAGTTAACTGAAATGGAGTCAAGAACAAAAACAAAAACAAAACAAAACAAAGAAAGCAGAAGGTGGCCAATTAAACGCAGGATGTGAAATGTGCCAGGTTTGTCTAAGTGAAGAAAAGACAGGCTACCTTGCTGGACTCCTCGAGCTGCGTGCCCCGCTTCCAGGCCTCGGAGAAGATGGAGCTCACGGTGCTCTGCGACCGCGCGTGTCCTGCGGGCTGTGTGTCAGAGACGCCACTGTCCGACTGGTTAGAGTGGTTTGACTGCGACTCTGTGGGCAAGTTTTCAAAAATATAGTGGAATCTGTCAGCATTCCAACAGTATGAATACAGACATGCAGTGCTCTTACACAAGGATAAATGCCATTTACAATAACACATTCATTTTACTCAATACACTCACGATGAACACAGCCAGTATTTTCCACTAGAAAATGACCTATCTCCAACGCTTTTTAAAAAACATAGTTCACCACAAAAGGCTGACAGTTACAATAAAGGAGTCACATTACTGGTATCCTATTGCACAAAATAACTTCTAACAAGTTAGAAAATTTATGAACCATCAATGGAGGAAGATATATTTTCAATCTCAAGGCTTTGGCCGTCCTCGACTGCTTTCGCAGGCCACAAGCAGGGAGTTGAGAGAAGTGGGGCCCTCGGGATTAAAACCAGCGCCCATATGGATCGCAGCACGTTCAAGGCGAGGACTTTAGCCGGGCCCTTGGTTTACACTGAGTCTGCCCCACACTTCCTCCCTAGGATATGAATGATGCTCTAGTGGGAAAAGGCATTATTCCACTTTGTAAAAATGGGGACATACTTTAGTTGGTAATTGCCATGTATGTATAGATTTTCTCAATCTCTGCCCCTTCAATTTCTTTTTCTAACACCCCACTTACAGGAAGAGGAGTGCAACAGTTAAGAGGGCGCCGGGAGTCCATGTGCTGCCCTGGAGGGCCCTGGTCCAAGTCAATGGCTCCACTCCCAGGCCCAGCCTCCTGCTCAGGTGCTCTCCCCCGGGTGGGCCTGCATGGAGCCTGCTTAAGAGCCCTGTAGTGGATACAACTCGGGTATGTATGCAAGTTTATACTAACATGGGTATCTACACTGTACCCCAACTCTAAATACTCAAGACCATGTGCCCGCTAATAAGTTACAACTTTAAAAAGCATCTACTAACTACAATTTAGAAGTTGGGAATGGCTTTAAGACCTGAAATGACCAGGTGTGCTCTCAGTCTCTGTGGTGACTTCTGTAAGGTTAAAGTGAAGTGATGCTGCCAAGCATGTGAACTACCTGGGATACTGGAGGAACTGGATCCTGATTTGATGCTGGAGCTGGATAAGGAAGTCCAGTCATAAGCAGACTCCGTCCTCTTCAGGGCTTCTTGATAGTTCACGTACAGCTGTTTCCCATACTAAAGTGAGGGAACAATAATTACAGTTGAACTCCACTAGGTAGGTGTGCCACAGAGGGATCAAGTGTGAGGAGGGGACACTGTGCTTACTGATAAATATCTATAAGACCTCAAAACGTTTTTTTACAGGTTATTTTTATTGGAAAGCATTTTTAAATCAATAAATAATAACCTACTTCCATTTTTGCCATTTTGGGAAGCTAACACGTGATTCTGATTAGGTTTGTTAAACTTTTTTTCACCCCAAATTCTTTATCATTATCTATTCTGGATATTGCACCCCATTTGGTTGGTGAATGATGATTGTTCCAAGTAGTTAATTAAAAAAATTATTTCTCTCTGGCTAAACTTTGTCCATGCAGCACCTCCCTTAAGGAAAGAGAAATCATTATGATGTTATTCAAGCTTTTATCAATAGTATTATTCCACAGATAGTACTGAAGGCTTAATCCTATTACCAAGAAAATCAGACAGCAAACATGAAACTTAGAAAACCAGGCATAATCAGGAAAATTATTACGACAAGCAAAACCTTATCACTAAACACATCTTGGTTCATCAATGAACCAAAAGGAAACTGACCTTGGCAATGCGAATTCCATTGACCCACTGATGCAGTGTTCTCATGTCATCACAGCACAGGTATTTGATATACTGAGATTTCTTCTGGATCTGTGGGTGCTACAGGATTAAAAGCAAAGTCCAACTAAATCGCTTGGAGAACAAAAGGAAAATAAAATCTACCAAAGCTTAACATAACCCTAAAAGGGATTGGGATTGTGGTCTAACAGGTTAAGCTACCACCTCAAGGCCAGCAATTCCATATGCTGAACTTTCTAGCTCCCTGCTAATGTGCCAAGGAAAGCAGCAAAGAATGGCCCAAGTCCTTGGGCCCCTGCGATACATAGGAGGCCCCAAAGAAGCTCCTAGACCCTGCTCCCAGCCTCAACCACTGCAATCATTTGGGGAGTAAAGAAATGAACAAGAAGACCTTTTTCTATCTTTCCTCCCCTCTCTTTGTAACTCATTTTTAAAACAGAGCTTTTACAAATTAATATAGATTCTTGAGGAATTTCATAAAGTGAATAAGACAGAAATATGTTAAAATTTAGGTCACAACATCCAAGTTACCTTCACATCATGGAAAATCCCTAAATATTCCTTCTGCATTTCAAAGAAAAGTTTATTCCAGTAGATAGTCAGTAGAATTCTCAATCCCTAGACTACAAAAGAGAATGTTTGGTTTTGCTCTGGAAACTCTAGAAGAGACAAGGTTTTTGGTAAAGCTTCCATGCTTCCCTGGAGCTGCATGACCGGAGCCTGTGGGCACACACACCCTGGCAGGCTCTGCAGGACCCACCCACTGCCAAATGGCAGGACCACAACAGGTGCTCTCAAGGGAACAAGCAGCTTCTCAACGGCATCATCTTATTTATTCTAGAATCTACTGTACTTTTCAGATGAGGCTCACTTGACCATGGCTACAAAATTCATGTATTAAGAACCAATTTTAGGTATTTTAACTGGATGGGGCCTCAACCCTCAACCTTAGGAAGGAAAACACACTTGATTCTCGGTAATGACATGATTACTTCTCTTCTCCCTCTCAGAATTTCTTAGATGGATATGTTCTATCTGGAACAATTCTTCATTATGCTCAATTATTTTTAAAAAGGAAACTTTAGGGCCCGGTGTGTTGACCTAGTGGCTTCAGTTCTTGCTTTGAACACACCGGGATCCGATATGGGCACCGGTTCTAATCCCTGCAGCCCTGCTTCCCATCTAGCTCCCTGCTTGTGGCCTGGGAAAGCAGTCGAGCACAGTCCAAAGTCTTGGGACCCTGGACCCTGCACCTGCGTGGGAGACCCAGATGAAGCTCCTGGCTTCAGATCGGCTCAGCTCCGGCCATTGCGGCCACTTGGGGAGTGAATCAGACGGAAGATCTTCCTCTCTGTTTCTCCTCCTCTCTGTCCATCTGACTTTGCAATACAAAATAAATTTTTTAAAAAAAGAAGCTTTAAGAGAATTTAGTTTTCCCAAAATTTTACAACCACATTCTGTTATTGTGGAAGTCCTTATATTCTCAATGCAGCAGGATTAGATGGTCACCAACATAAGTGAGCAATCACAGATTACACCCTGGTCTACAGTGAGCTGGGAAATGTAGATGCGTTGCCCTGTTCATAGCCTTACAGAGCTCAGCTCTTGTAACGTAATAATATCAAAACCATGATCAACGTCTCACAGAATAGTTCACTAACAGAGATCAACAAGTGAATACAGACTAGCTCTCTCTCTTGACAATATAAAGGTCTGCTAGTGGAGTATGTTCTTTGTTCATATAATAAATCTAAATGATCACAATATAATAAACCAGTATAGCAATCCTCAAAGGGCACAGGAGGCTAGGGACAGCAGTATGCACCTCTTGATCCAAAGAGGAAGGGGTTTTTGTGTCACTAAATTTATTCAACAGTTACTCAACATTCTGTGAACATTTTGTCATTTTTGTGATCCTAAGCTACCGCGCTGGGCTCCAATTTTCTCATTTTTTTAAAGTGGCGTTTATTGATCACTTACTCTGCATCACATACTATTTGCAATATTCCAGTTCCCTCAGACTCCATGAAAACCCTCTGGGTCACATGGTATTATCTCCATATTCTGACAAGAAAGCAAGACGTAGGACAGTACTTCAAGTTGCTCTCAATAAGTCAGAGAACTGGGATTTGAAACTAGGCAATCTCACTCCCAGGCTCCCAAACTTTACTATTCAACTGCTGTAGTACTTTCTCTTTCCCTACAACATTACTCTACCAACTCCAAAATCATTCAAGGTCTCAGAGCAAGCATGGAGGAGATCTGCACTGCTGGCCTCCAGAAGCCCAACATTTAGATTCTTAAAAATTCCAACAAGAATATTTAGTAACCCTTTGATTACTTTTGTGCACGCAGGCTACTTTTCTGTATTTATGTGAAACACTAGTTTGGACAGGAACTCCTGTCACAAAGGCAGTGCTCTACAGCCATAGTCCAAGAAGGGACAAGTGAGTCTGTATTCACACCTGTTACTGATACAGAGAATTTGGAAATCAACTTTCACAACTGGTATACAAAAGCTAAAAGACAGCACTAGTTATCCCACCGTGTTTCTTCCATGGTTATTATACACAGCAATCTGAGTTAGAAACTGCGCTTTGTATTTCATTTTAGGAGTTTGGGTTGTTGTGCAGTGTGTAAAGCAGCTACCAGCAATGTCAGAATCCCATATAAGTGCTGGTTCAAGTCCCAGCTGCTCCACTTCCAATGCAGCTCCCTGAATGTGCCTGGGAAATCAGTGGACAGTGGCTTAAACACTTTGATCCCTCCCACTCACTTTGGAGACTTGGATGGAGTTCCAAGTTCCTTCAGCCTGACCCAGTCCTGGCTGTGTTCCTTTGGCAAATGATCCTGAGAATGGGCCATCTGTCTCTCTCACCATCTATAACTCTGCCTTTCAAATATATAAATCTCCATCAATGTTCACACTCCATTGCTTAATGTAAATTACTTTCCATTTTTACCTACTATATTAAAATAAATTACTTTACAAATGAGGCAGAGAATGATTCAAAAAGTTTGAGAAGCATAGAGAGCTAGGAGGCGCATGCAAGAGAGCCGCACAGGTGTTAAGAAGCTCCTTTCCACACTGGTGGGCCTGAATTCCAGTCCTGGATTCTCCTACTGATTTCAGCCTCCAAGTGACAGCTCAAGTACTTGGGTCCCTCCCACCCACAAAGGAGACCTGAGCTCAACCCTGGCTTTGGTCTGTCCCAACTCTGGCTGGCACAGACATATTGGGAGTGAATCTATTAAAACATATAAACAAACTGGGCCACTACTGCAGTGTAGCACATTTGGCCTCCACCTGCAGCATCAGCGCCCACTTATGGTTGCTGGTTCAAGTTCCAGCTGCTCCACTTCTGATCCAACTCCCTGCTAATGTGCCTGGGAAAGCAGTAAAAGATGGCCTAAGTCCTTAGGTCCCTACACCCATGCAGGAGACCTGGGAGAAGCCCCAGACCCTAGTTTAAGACCTGCCCAGCTTCAGCCATTGTGGCCACATGGCAGAGTGAACCAGTAGAATGAAGACCTCTCTCTGTGTCTTTCTTTTCTGTGTAAATCTGCTTCTCAAGCCAAAATAAACAAATAAAAAATTTTAAAAGAATACAAACAATTTAAACAAAAGGAGAGAAAAAGGCAAAGACAGAAAGATACAGAGAGCCCCCATCTGCTGGCTCAATCCTCACATGCCTGTGGCAGCTGGGGCAGAGCCGGCTCTGAGCTGGGAGCCTGGTGACCTGCACCTCGACACGGTGCTCACACACACAGGTGGTGGGGACTTGGGCCACGACTGCTCCCCGCCAGAACTCGCTGCGAGTCAGGAAATCAGGACGCTCCAGGAAGCTGGAGCCAGGCTGTGTGTCAAACCAGGTGCTTTGATGTGGAATGTGTGTGTCTTAACAGCTAGGCTAAACATTCACCTGCTCCTATTTTCTTTTATACCAAAATAAACATCTTTTAGTCTTATTATTCTATAATTTTTCAATAATATTTTTGTGAAATTACATAATTCTCCCACTAATGCTTTGATTATTAATCTTTTAGAAAATGGATTTTCTAGATTTACTCTCTGCAAATTTGTATATTTCTCCAATCCTGGATTTCACTGGAAAGACTCAGAGAAAAAAAGATGTCATTTTTTTTGGTGTTTTGTTTACTTATATGAAAGGCTAAGGGACCTAGACAAGGTCTCCCATCTGCTAGTTCCTTCCACAAACAACTGCAACCACCAAGGTGGGCAAGTCAAGCCCAGGGGCCAGGAGCTTAATCAGGTGCTCCTGGGTGGGTGGCATCCCTATCTGCTTCCCACACTGTGAGAGAGAACTCAGGACTCAGGAGCGAGCAGGCATTGGAAAGTAGACACTGTTAGCAACATGACATAAGAGTCCGTCCCCAGTCACGCCTTTACATCGTCACGTGTGTGAGGCTTTGGGTGGAAGGATCCATCTACTTGAGCTTCTGAATCTGGGAACAGAGACAGACTCAAGACCAATTTGTCTTAGTGCTCCTAGTGCAGGCCCATTATCTGAAGGCTCTTTACTAAGTGGTAGTTCTTATTTCTACCATTTGTATCAAGCAGTATGTTTCCAATTTAAAACACTGAATATTTCTCATTTAAAAAAATACAAGCTTACCTTTACTAAGAGCAAATATGAATTACACAAAATGCTACAAAAGAAAGAAAAAAAATCCTTGTGTAAAAAACATTCTTAATGTAAGAATTCTACGGGCTGAAAAGCAGATTAAATAGCAGCTTGGCTTGCTGGTTAAGATACCAGGAAGGAAGCTTGCGTCTCCTCCCCAGTGCCTGGCCCAACACCCAGCTCTCGTTCTGAAACCCAGCTTCCTGCTCATGGAAATCATGGGGGCAGCGGTGGTAGGTCACATAACAGGGCTTCTGTGAAAGCCTTCAAGAGGAGGATTAGTGGGCAGCTTCTAGGAGATAATTCCTTCTCATCAGAAAAGACGATCACACCAAGCAATCCCTTTCCTACTGGTTTTAGTGTGATGTCAAAGCTACAGGAGTTTCTTTCGGAGGTGAGCATCCCTGGCACTGAGAGAACAGGACAGGGAAAGATGGAAGGAGGCTGGCTTCTCAAGAACAACACAGAGCCACTAAAGTGACTTGTTACGAGGTCCCTGGCTTCAGACTGGCTCAGCTCCAGCTGCTGTGTGGTATGGGGAGGGAACCAGCGCATGGAAGATCTTTCTCCTTGTCCTTCCTTCTCTCCATAAATCCCATCTGCCTTTCAGTAAACAAAACTACCTTCTAGGCCTGCTAAAATACCTTTGATGCCTTTTCACAATGTACTACTCTTTGTCCAACCCATTATACAACTGACTCTAGCCTCTTCATTGGGCCTGCGTTTTTCCTGGAGGGCTCCTGAGCTACACAAGAGCTACATCACACTTCTCTCCTTTCACTCTGGAACCTTATGAGGATGGAAGTTGTGTTTTTCATCTTCCAAAATGTTTTCCTTATTAAAGATTAAAATGTAAATATACAAGTACCCATCATATGAGAGAGAAAACGCTGTCACATATCACATAATCTCTTAGAAAATTTAACATTTCACAATACAATTGTGAGACACACAAGTATTTAGCAAGTAATATCTCAGAAAAGTAATCCTGATATCACAGTCTTAGAGACTCCCAGGGAAATTGGACTTTGTTTTAGATATTTGGGAGATTAAGCAACTCTATACTGACTTTTTAGAAAGCATTTGTTCCTAAGGGTGGAGATGCAGCAGTGGGTAAGTGAATTCAAATGTGATTATAGGCATATTGACCTAGTCATTATCAAGGGCTAAGACTGGAGCCAATAAAGAATATTATCTCAATAATTTCTCTGAGTTCCTGTATGCTGTCTTTATCAACATTCCCACAGAGTCACTAAAAATATGCTTGAAGTTATCAGTTCTTCTCAAAAGAACAGATATAGTAACCGTGAGAAGCTTGCAAGCCTGGATGAAGGAGACAAAAACAATGTCCCCTGTACAGTTCAGAGAGGTCATGACCATGCCTGAGTTCTCACGATTCGCTGCCGGAAGCTGAGACCAGGCTCTGCGGAGGCTGGGTGCCCTCTGATGGTCCTGCTCAGAAAGGACACAAGGGGAAACAAAGCATCTTCCACAGCTGGCTCTAAGTTTTCCTAAAGTAAGCCTGCTTTTAAAAATGAGTCTCAAATTTATAATCAAACACATTTTACAGATATGACTCAAAGCCTGCACCCCAGTGCCCATTCCTTGTTAACATTAACCCAATTAAAGGCGCACTGGCTTTAGACTGGTTATGACAGCACACCCTGCTTTTTCTTATCATCCTTCACTCTTCCTTTTGAAACCTAGAGTACAGCAAAAATAGCAGATTTGGGAGAGTTCTAAACTATTGTAAAATTGTAGTAAATTGTTCTCCATCGACCACCAATTAAAATTCCTAAAAAGAGACTTATGTTTACCTTCAGCACCAAACAGTAGTCTGTAGGCGCTTTGTATTTGCTCCGGTAGTCCTGGCCATAGTAGACATTGACGTGATCCAGCTGCAGAAAGCACACCAGCTCGCGAGAGACCTATGACCAAACACCAAGAGGCTGAGCGGATAAGGGACAAACCAGCAGGTGTCCTACCTGCTAACGGCTTCTAGCTGAGTACCAAAACTATGCTAGGCAGAAATTACTGCTACTTTACATGTTCTTTCGTTAGCCTGGAATGTAGCTACAAAGGCAGTTATATTAGAGACTGTCTTGTCACTCAAGAGAGAACATGGACTTGTTTGTAAATATGGGAAAGTATATTAGCTGTGAACGAGTAGAGTCAACCTCTGTAGAAACAAACAAAAAACAAGAAAATAGCCAGGTCAGTCCCTAAAATGCATATTTCAAGTACAGCGATTCTCAACATAAACAAAATTCTGCATGTTCTATATGAGTCGAGCCAGTTAATAACCTGGATTCAACCTGCCAGCATACACACGTCAAGTTAAAGGCAGGCAGTGCAACTAAGAGGCTGCACAGCCAGCCACCCCCACACACCTTTGCTTTTCCTTTGGGGACATAGTAGATGCCAGATGCTCGCAGGAGAAAGTAACGTTTTTTCCAGGACTTCTTGCCGTCATCTTTCAACCACAGAACTCCTTCAATCTCTGGTACAGTTACAGAGCTGCCACAGAAACATTCCTAAAACAACAAGATGATTTTGGAAACACATAAATCTTGGATTTGCAGAAAAGAATTAACGTGTACCCCTACAAAATGGCTGGCACTATTACAAGATTAGTAAGGATGGCATCAGGCTTATTTTACCTCAGACAAAACTTTCCATCCTAAATATGAATTCATTTTAGAACTACTAAAGCAATACTAAAATGTTAAGTAAAATGCCTGTCTAAAGTATAAGAATGAATTCCTACCTAAAGTCTTAATGTGATGAAGAAAAACTTACTTGAACATCACCGAGCATGATATAATTTATGTGTAAACCAGTTATCAAACTTATCAAGAATTAGAGTTAACATAGTATTAAACCTTATTTTTCTGCAAATTAAAAATATATTTACATTCACCATTAAGATGAGTAGGAATATTTTTTAAAATAAAGCTGAGTAAATGACTCATGCCAAGTAAATGATTAGCAAATTTTGAAAAAACTTATGCAATGCCAAGATAAAGACGAAATTTATTTTTAAAATATGTAATATAAGAGAGAAAGGAATGTAAATATTTGAACATTTGAATTGCATGCTTGCGCTTAGTCTAACGAGTATTTTGACTTAAGTGTAGCTGCCGTCACTAGAAAACTAAGTGCTGGTCATTTCCCGAACTACCTGTTGTCAAGTAAGAGCCTTTTCAGATGTTTCTTTAATTTATTGAAAATTAGAAAAATCAAAAAGTTTAATTGTGCTAAATTTATTTTTAAAATAAGAGTATCAAATAATGGTCATAATTTAAAATTTTTTGAATAATTTAGGGATAAGGTTTGAAGTATATGTAAACAGGCAGGACCCATTCAAATTCCCCTTTGTGTGGGCACATCCTTCATCAACTAGCTGTTTTTCCCACTCAGCAGCCCCTTTGTTGGCTGCTAGGCTTGGTAAAAATACTAGCTTTTCAACTTCAGTGGCTGAATGTGGTCATGCAGTTGATTTCTTCCTCATGGTATCAAAGACAACAGGTGTCTCTATGTACACCTGGGACTACACACAGCACTGACACACCTGACTGCAATAGGTACTGGGTATTTTAGTTGTATAAGAATACAGATGAGGGAATCATACCTCCAACAGCACCTCTTTGTTTCTGTCTGCCATCTCAACAGTCTCCTTTTTCCCCAGAAGATAGTTCTGGAAAAACAATGAAAGTCAAATACCGGATGATTCCTTAAGTTGACTGCTGCCAATCCCGAGTGAGAACATGCTTTTGACAAGTTCCATCATCACAACATGCTCGACTCCAGCCTTCTCCTTGTCTACCCTTTTGCATGAATTGTTCCATAAACTTCCCTCTCCCAAATCCCCACAGGCTGACACACACGCTCTGAGATACCGAATGAAAGCTGTATGTAAAGGAGCTGGAAGGTTTACAGTTTACTGAGCACAACAAATAAGGTCAATTACTGTAAAATGTGGTGGACTTAACAGATGCAGAAAATTTATGTTCTAGGGTTTGGATTCTCTGAGGCTATAATAATCTTATTTGCTCGATTCAATTAGTACATAAAATCTGTTAGTTTAATTAACTTAATTGTTCAAAACAAAATGTTGCTACAATTATGTAGTTTTCACCAACATAACCAGGAAAAATATGTGCCACAATTAAGCCACATGAAAAATAACTACTCTGCATCTTTAGCACTGCTTTTCTTTCTTAAGAGTACTTTTTCCTGTGGAATTTGTTTTTCTTCCTTACTCCCTGGGAAATACCAACTCAAACACTATTCTGGATTAAGGAACAATATTAAACAAATTAAGGTAACATACCCTAGAATGTGAAGCCACTTACAATCAAGGTTACTGTGACTTTTTTAATCTCGGGGGAAAAACAATCAAAGTGACTGCTGAACAAAGTGACTGGAGCGGTCAAGCACTTTGCTTTACTGAAATGTGAAACTCAGCAGACCAGCATGTGGCTTCAACATACTGCTGCGTTACAGGGCAGAGAAAATGAGCCGCTTCTGTTTCCACAAAGCTACACTCAGTCCGCCGCTGCCGGACTGACCCTAGGCCGCACAGCTACCCCTGCTCAGCAGGAGGCATGTTCCTGCAAGCTTTGCAGCTACTATACCCCAATCAGGTGGCTGCCTATATCTTCATTCTATCAACTTGGCAGTTACAGGCTAAAAGATGACACACATTTAAAGATCCTGAGCTCTGTAAGTTACTCAGTCTTACCTGTGGGTTTTTGAAAAGTGCGTATTTTTCTATACGTTCCATAAATATAAGTTTGTTTTGGCTATCTCTTGTCCAGTTAAGAAGATTTTCAACCAGGTTTTCATGGTCTTCGAAGATTCTCTCTGGCTCAAAATGAGACATCAATATTTTGTCAGTATTTATTAAAACTGCATGCAGGACACAAAACCCTGTGGGGCAATTCCCATCACCACCACAGAATCCTGACACTCGGGCCCTTGGCCCTCAGAGGCGATTAGGAAATATGTCCCAGTGATGTGAAACGATCCTAGCAAGGCCACACCGAGTGACAGGGAGGAATGAGGGCTAGACTCGAGTCTTGTCACTTGCAGAGCATCTTCAGCCTTTAGCCTACTCTCATTTCACACCCCCACCCCAGTAAGATTTATTTTTCCTTGAAGGGCAGAGTTACACAGAGAAAGAGAGAAACAGAGATCTTCATTCTCTGATTCACTCTCCAGATGGCTACAGTAGCAGGAGGTTGGCCTTTCCAAAGCAACAAGCTTCTTCTGGGTCTCCCAAATGAATGCAGGGACCTAAGGATTTGAGTTTTCCCAAGCACATCAGCCAAAAGCTGAATTGGAAACAGCAGCCAAGACTCAAACCTGCACCCTTATGGGATGCCAGCATTGCAAGTGGAGGTTTAACTTACTATGCCATGGTGCTGGTCCCTCGTTCCACCCACAAAGATAAAGCACATCAGCTATGTTTTATAAGTCATGGTATTAAGTATTCCCAATAGTATGTAGTTCTGGGCATTTCCACAACTGCTACGCTTTGATTCATGAGTGTCGTTCAATTTTAAACACAGAAATATTGTCTAATTACTGAATTCAAAGAACATATTTTATATATTAAATATACATTGTTCTAGATACTAGTTCCTTGAAGGTGCTCTTCTAAAGACTTCAGTACAAACGAAAATAAACCTAACAGTCTTCAATAAATCTATCAATCTATGCAATTCTTATAAAGGAACAAATAGTTTCCTTAAAAACAAAACAAACTTTATTTTAACCACTATGAAAGCTGAGGTGAACAAGACATATCAAAGAAATGCTACAATAACTGAGAAATAAAATCATGCCTCAAAATGCTTTTATCATCATAAAAATTACTTGACTCCCATGGAAATTAAAGCAATGCTGTTACTGACCCATTTGCAGCTCAGACACAGTCTCCACCAGTGACCAGTCTAAACTGTAGCCGCAGTGAGATTTGTCCATCAGGTTGTCCAGCACCTGTCTCACCGTCTGCCTCTCATCCACCATCATGGTTTTAGAACTGTCATCAGACATGTGGACTCTGATCACCAGCTGCCAACATGCAAAAACGAAATTAAGATGCAAACCAAAATCTATACTCAAGAAAAGCAATCTTCCATTATTATTTAATATACTGACATGCTTTAAATTAAAAGGTAAAATACAAAGAAAGGGTAAAAAAATTAAGATACCAAATAACCTAACTAAAGAAAAGCCTTTTAAAATTTCTAACAACAGGTAATATCATATTGTTGAAACAATTTGGTCCTATTCTTTTTGGAGAATTTAGTCACAAAGGTATTTCTTTAAAGGGCATTTTACCCACAAGAAATACTCCAAGTAAAAAAAAAATTATTACCAGAAAGAAATACACTTTCAGCTCCCCACATCTTGCAGGTATGTCATATAAAAAAGGCAATTCTTAACAAATCCCTAAAAATGATTATGACCTTCCCCCCGCAGACAAAACACAAAACCAAGACCCCACAAGTCACCTACCTTCTTCACTTGCGCTTCTTTAATTTTCTCGAGGGCAACTCGGATCTTCTCAGCTTTCACCTTCGCTGCCTGTTCTTCCTGTGAACACAGACCATGCCAGGTGAATCAGTGCTAAGGTGATGGGAAAACCTGAGCAGTCTTTCATTCTGAAGGATGTTTTCAGCATTGAATTTTATTATAACTTCACATACTTGATACAGAGCACATTTTTGAAATAACTCAGTTTTTTAAAAGTAAGAACACACACCGTAAGGAAAGAACATTTTTATAAGGATGTAGACAACTTACACTAGAATGCTTTGCAATACAATCAAATTCTATAAATCTGTCAGCTTGAAGCAGAGAGATATCAGGTTTGGGGCCAGGGAAAACCTGAGCTGCCCTCTGAGGGCCTGCTGACATATCACCCCTGAAGGGTCCCTCAGTCTTGCCTCAATGGCCCCTTCCCCGCCAGGAAGGTACGGGCAAGTGCTTGCACACTACAGCATCGCTATAGAAAGTATAACAGTAAGAACAAAACAGAGCCTCCTTCTTTGCACTATTTGAAAGTCCTCAATAAATAAAAATTGTAGAATGTTCTCATTAGCATAATGTAAGAGGCTGTCTTGAATGCCTAAATTTGTACCGCTTTCAAAAACAATTAATGTCTCCTTGTCCACAATTAAATTCCTACTAATTCATAAAATGTTTAAATGCTAAATGTAATTTTCCAAATAATGTGACTTCTAGTAGATTATGAACCATGAAAAACTAAAAATGGAGTTAAGCATTTGGCTTTTTGTACAACAGCAAATAGTATTTTAACAGCAGTACTTACCTGTAATTTCTAGCAATAGGCCATAACATATACTGTACCACTAAACTCCAATTGAAAACAAAAATGACGTTAAGTAATCCTTTGTTTACGAAGAAAAAATTTCTATTTCTAAGTCACTGAATATTCTAGAAAAGGTCTAAGAAAAATATAAAGTGCCATCTTACATATCACTTTATTTAATGGCTCTTAAAAGACCAGCTTCACACTTGTCTTTCCCAGCTCATGGCAAGCTCAGTGTTCATTCCCCTGTGGAACACTGAAGAAAACAGTGGCTTGGAAGGCACTGGGCTGGATTGCAAGAAACTGATCCCTTTCAGTGAAAGAAGCTGCCAAATTAACACAATGAGCAGTCTGGAAATACTACCTGAAAACACAATTAGCAGAGAACAAAACATGCTATTTTAAGAGAAAGGAAGACTTCCTTACACAAATGAACAAAGAGCAGAATTATAACACGTTGATTACATTTTAACCTAACACATCTTTTTGTTCCTAACAGCAGGTTATAAATGAATCTTAGAGAAACAAAATTCTTTTTTTATTAAAGAGAGAGAGAATTTACCTGTACGAATTTGCAAATTTCACTTCCCTGTCCCTAAGAACTGATCTTTAAGTCTGATTAGGAAAAAAGGACATGTGCAATTAATGCTTTGTGTATTTGAAATATAAACATGAACTTCTGAATGGACAAATTCTTTAAACTATTACAATTAATTTGTAGACATAAGAATGTCTTCAAAGCTGAGAACATCTTTAAGAAAGGGAATATTCAAGAGAATGAAAGGACAAGTCAGAATTTCTGAGAAAAATATTCTTACAGGATGTCTCTGATAAAGGACTTATCTAAAATGTATAAAGAACTCTAAAACTCAAGAAAACGAACCGCTCAATTGGAAAGAAAGGCAGAAGATGCAGCTACGTCAGCAAAGAAAACATATAGGTAGCAAATAAGTACACGAAAAGAGGTTCCACATTATCTGCCACAAGGGAAATCGCAAATTAAAACAAGATGGCAACAACCACCAAACACCTATCAGAAGGGCCACATTCCAAACTCTGACGTCCTCACCAAATGCAGGTTAGGGGAAGGGCAATAGGACCTCATCCATCACCGGTAACAATGCAAAATGGTAAAGTCACTTTGGAAGCCACTCGGGCAGTTTCTTAGAAAACTGACCCTCCTCTTACCATCTGCTCCAATAATTGTTCTCCTTGACTCAAAGGAACAGAAAACTCGGGTCCACAGAAAAACCTGTGCACAGACGTTTGCAGCACCTTTATTCGTAATTCATAATTTCCAAAACTTGGATCAGACACACTGCAGTGCATCCTGGCAGTAGGACATGATTTGACACTAAAAAGAGGGAAGTTATCAAGACACTAAAAGATAGGGGGAAACTTCAAATACATATTATCAAGTCAAAGAAACTAAAGCTACACACTTACTTCTAACTACACCATACTTTGGAAAGATCAAAGCCATGGAAACAGTAAAATACCAGTAGTTAAAAAATTAACATCAGCTGCCAGTTGTACACTTCAGTAGTATATACACATCGGTATTTGTAAAATGCCAACACCAGGGGAGAACTCCAATGTAAATTATGGACTGTGGGTGGTAATGCCATGGGGGGCAGTGTGAACGAGTACAGCCAATGTGGTGCAGCATATCCACAGCAGAGCGTTATGTTTAGGATGTTCACACTGGGGAAAGGGTATGTGTGTTGAAATTAAAAAGGCTCTAAAAAATACTTATTTAAAAAGCAGAATATTAAAATCTTTACATTTTGATATTGCTTATAAATACAAAAATAGCATTTCCATTTCATGCTTCCATTTAAATTTATCAAATACAATGGAATGTAATCAGTGCTAATTTTTAAGCATTGACATAAACTTTCTATTATAGTGTTAGCTTAAATTCAAATATTTTCTACCCCACAGGCTGGAAAGAAGGACTAAATAAACCAGAGCCATGAACAAGCAGCTAACATATTAAACAAATTATATTGCCCAACCATCAATCGGAAATAATTTTTACACCAAGCATCTAGTTGGGGCTATTTTAACAATTTCAAATTTAGCTGTCAGATTTACTTACAATGTTTCTTTAATGCCCTTATGTGGCCTGTTGAAACTTCACCAAATTCAAATTTAAGAACTAATTCCTTAATTTCAACATTGGGAAATTTTAGTTTATTCTTTCCAAGTTTATTACAGGGATAATCCTTACTAGAAACTTTTTGAGGAGCCAACTGACTATGGAGCTTTTGGAGCAAAACTAGAAATGAAAATACTTCATCAGACTCCAGGGTTCATGATATTTAGTGCTTCCTCCAGGCGGTAAGCTCTTCTGTGGCAGGCTCCATTTACATCTGCTTTGTATGGTTAGGCCACAACCATGTCTTTTAATCTGAACCTGGAGAAAAAACAGTCTTAGCTTACAGAACACTGTGCAATATGTGAATGATCAATCAATCTTTGTTGATGTATTTAGATGGTATGCTTACAAGACTTCCAACAGTTTATAACAGCAAGGAGTATCTATGTTTAGAGTTTGTATCCCAAGTTTAATACAAAGGACAAAACTATCGTTAGCTCATATTCTGCTAAAACACGCCTTTTGCCCTATGTATTTTTTTTTTTCAATTGGAAAGTCAGATATACAGAGAGGAGGAGAGACAGAGAGGAAGATCTTCAGTCTGCTGATTCACTCACAAGCAGCCACAATGGCTAGAGCTGTGTTGATCCAAAGCCAGGAACCTGGAGTCTTTTCTGGGTTTCCCACAGGAGTGCAGGATCCCAAGGCCTTGGGCCGTCCTCAACTGCTTTCCCAGGCCACAGGCAGGGAGCTAGATGGGAAGTGGGGTTGCTGGGATTAGAACCGGCACCCTTTTGGGATCCTGGTGCGTGCAAGCTGAGGACTTGTGCCGCTAGGCTACCGTGCTCGGGCTCTGCCCTATATATTTCAACTATTTTTCTTCACACTGCCTCACAACTTTCCTAAACATGAATAAAAGATATCTCACACATAGGAAATTTTAAATTTTCTTCCTCCTTTTTTAAAAGATTTTAATTTATTTTTATTAGGCAGATACACAGAAAGAAAAAAACAGAAAAAAGATCTCCGTCTGCTGACTGACTCACCATGTGGCCACAAGTGTTGGAGCTGAGTTGATCCAAAGCCAGGAGCCAGGAGCCTCCTCAGGCCTCCTGTGTGGGTAGAGGGTCCCAAGGTTTTGGGCCTGCCTTTGACTGCTTTATGTACAGAACCACAAGCAGGGAGCTGGATGGGAAGTGGGGCAGCCGGGACATGAAATGGCACCCATATGGGATCCTAGCACCTGTAAGGTGAGGACTTTAGCTGCTAGCCTACCACGTTGGGTCTCCTTTTCTCTTAAAAGGAAAGAGACAACCTGTTTTCTACTGAAAAACTCCAGTGCGGCTATCAACTACCATCAAATGTCAAGTCTCCTCAAATTTACATAAAGGACAAAAACTGGGTGAAGATCGTATGATTAAATGAAAGCCAACACTGTGGTTACAAAATGTTAGAGCACTCCATAGTGTAAAAATCAGACCACGTGTATTTTGAGAACGTTACCAGTTGCTAAGAGACGGTTAATGAATTCCTTCCACAGAGAAATTAAGTTTCTGAGTTCAGAACAAAGCCAATTGATATTAAAAGGCTGAACAGTGGTCAGTAGTTTCTTCAGCATGTAGTTTATTTCACTGATGCAACAGGTTTAAAAGGTTATGTGAAATAAGCCATTCAAAGATAACTTGGGCTGATAAACAGTTCAGGATCTATGAAACACTCTATTTTAAAATGCAACTCAAGGGCCCGGCGCGGTGGCGCAAGTGGTTAAGTCCTCGCCTTGCACGCCCGGGACCCCATATGGGCGCCAGTTCTAATCCCGGCAGCCCCGCTTCCCTTCCAGCTCCCTGCCTGTGGCCCGGGAAAGCAGTTGAGGACGGCCCAAAGCCTTGGGACCCTGCACCCGCGTGGGAGACCTGGAAGAGGCTCCTGGCTTTGGATCGGCATAGTATCGGCCGTTGCGCTCACTTGAGGAGTGAATCATCGGATGGAAGATCTTCCTCTCTGTCTCTCCTCTCTGTATATCCACCTTTCCAATGAAAAAATAATAAAAAAAATAAATCTTAAAATGCAACTCAAAAGTCAAATAACTAGCTTCTTTCTCTTGAAGAAGCCATGAAATTGAGACTTTAATTCCAAACAACACAGAGTCAATATTATTAT